AGAAACCCCTGACCATTTTTTGGCTGTCAACTTGTGTAATAATACAAATGCAGATTTGATTAACCCGTCATGAGGCTGAATGTATTTGTTAAACCAGTAGAAAGTTATTGGCGTGACCATGCACTGCAAAAAGTGATAACAAATTGGTCAAAACAAATTGTAATAATTCATTTTATTTCATAGCGCCTTTCAAGACACCAAAGGACGCCTTGCAATATATAAAAAAAACATCACACACATTATTAAAAGTACAGAATATAAAACATTATTCAAATACAAAGAAAAAGCCAGTTTAAAAAGGTAGGTTTTGATGTGATTTGAAAATGTCCAAAGAGTGGAACTGTCGCAGGTGAAGCGGTAAAGAGTTCCAGAGTTTAGGGGCCGAGGCTGAACTCTCTGGCCCCCATCGTGGCCATGTGAGGAGCGGCAGATGAGGAGCGGAGAGAGCGGGACGGGGTGTATGTGTGGGTGGGTGGGTGTTAGGTGTACAGGTGGAGCAGGTCACTCTGGTGTGAGGGGGCCAGGTTATGGAGAGCTTTGAATGTGAGAAGGAGTTTAAACTGGATTCTGTGGGTTATGGGGAGCCAGTGGAGATGGATGAGAACTGCGGTGAAGCTCAAATTTGGCAAAAATCATCTTGTTTTATCCAGACACAAAAAATGTCTCCCTTGGAATGAGAAAATACAGCAACAGACTAAGTGGTTTTGTCCCATGGGAGAATCTTGTTGAGAATGAGCTCAAATGAAGACAAAAAACACTATATCCAAGCATTTGTTATCTCATATTTCATCATTTTCCGCAGTGTGCCCTGAACAGAGGCAGACGGTCCTTCAGAGCCGGAGCCGTTTGAAACATCTTTAAATGGAAGTGAAGATGGAATGTCGGGAAAAGCAGAGGATCCCAGTGAAGTGGTTTTTGACTGGACTTTTATAGTCTGGGAACTTGTCACGGCCCCATTGGATGAAGTCAGATATGTTTAAGTTGAAGTTTAGATGACTGCAGATTTGTCACTGTGTGTATGTATGCTTCCTGCTGCTGTCAGACTGTACAGAGAACACGGCTAACATGTAGAGATGTTAGCATGCAACGGTATTTTTAGTATTTACACTAGCGTTAGAGATTGTGTAATTAACTTGTAGGATTAGGGTTCTAAACTGAAGGTAAAGCAAAGGTTCAGACTGGATACTAGCAACAGTCCTCTCTCTGCAACAACAATCGGTCAGAAAGCTGTCAATCATGCAGCAACCCTCCTCCTCCCCATCATCGCCTCGTCAGCCAGACCAGCGCTTCAACCAAACCCAGATTTTTAGTTCCCACCACCACCAATTCAATTCAATTAAATGTATCAATTCAATTGTAAAAAATCAAACCGTTCGAGCACAAGAAATGCAATGACACCAAAATACATAGAGCAATTGGTCCATAAGAGGCAGAGACCAATGTCCATAAACCCAAATCAAACTCTCCCAAAACGTAATTTACTGCCACAACAGGTATGCAAATGAATAGAATGTCTTCCAAGACATAATATACTTTACTATTGGGACAAACCATGGACAGTAAAAACTAAACGCCGATTATTAATCAAAAAAATAAAGCATGGTACACCAGCTTAAGAGTTTTGTGGTGAGGGTAAAATGCATAAGACAAATTTCCCAAAACGTTGAAAATGTTCTCCCAAGATTAAACAATATTTCACGTTGTAGTAAAAACCAGTATAAATCTGGTTTCATTCACATGTGACGTAGACTCTCACGCTCACGAGGCAATACTGACACCTGGTGGACACACGCTGACATTACGCTGGATGTGGAAGGCACCGGTTCTGTCTCTTCTCCCTCGAGAGTTTAGAACCTTTGAATTAAATATATTGTTTTATCAATCAATCAATCTTTATTTATAAAGCACAACAGCCTAGGTTTATCAAAGTGCTGTATACAAGTGAAAAACAGCAACAAAAGAACAAATAGAAAATAAATACAAATAAAAAACCTAAAACTTTTCTTTTTCTTCCTAGTATTAAAAGCCAAGGAGAAATGGTGGTCCTCTTACAGAGAAGGCTTGTCTCCTCTGGTCCTCACCTGGTCCTCTCACAGAGAAGGCTTGTCTCCTCTGGTCCTCACCTGGTCCTCTCACAGAGAAGGCTTGTCTCCTCTGGTCCTCACCTGGTCCTCTCACAGAGAAGGCTTGTCTCCTCTGGTCCTCACCTGGTCCTCTCACAGAGAAGGCTTGGCTCCTCTGGTCCTCACCTGGTCCTCTCACAGAGAAGGCTTGTCTCCTCTGGTCCTCACCTGGTCCTCTCACAGAGAAGGCTTGGCTCCTCTGGTCCTCACCTGGTCCTCTCACAGAGAAGGCTTGTCTCCTCTGGTCCTCACCTGGTCCTCTCACAGAGAAGGCTTGTCTCCTCTGGTCCTCACCTGGTCCTCTCACAGAGAAGGCTTGTCTCCTCTGGTCCTCACCTGGTCCTCTCACAGAGAAGGCTTGTCTCCTCTGGTCCTCACCCGGTCCTACCACAGAGAAGGCTTGTCTCCTCTGGTCCTCACCTGGTCCTATCAGAGAAAAGGCCCTGTCTCCTCTGGTCCTCACCTGGTCCTATCACAGAGAAGGCTTGTCTCCTCTCATAAGTAACACACAAGAGCCTTTGGCAGATGAACGATGTCATAAATGTCGTTGGATGTCGAGTGTCCTGGATCATCACCAAAGCAACACTTTATACTTGCTTAACCAGGACTAAACCAGGACTAAACCAGGACTGAACCAGGACTGAACCAGGACTAAACCAGGACTAAACTAGGACTGAACCAGGACTGAACCAGGACTGAACCAGGATTAAACCAGGACTAAACCAGGACTAAACCAGGATTAAACCAGGACTAAACCAGGACTGAACCAGGACTAAACCAGGACTAAACTAGGACTGAACCAGGACTGAACCAGGACTAAACTAGGACTGAACCAGGACTGAACCAGGACTGAACCAGGACTGAACCAGGATTAAACCAGGACTAAACCAGGACTAAACCAGGATTAAACCAGGACTAAACCAGGACTAAACCAGGACTGAACCAGGACTGAACCAGGACTAAACCAGGATTAAACCAGGACTAAACCAGGATTAAACCAGGACTAAACCAGGATTAAACCAGGATTAAACCAGGACTAAACCAGGACTAAACCAGGACTAAACCAGGATTAAACCAGGACTAAACCAGGATTAAACCAGGATTAAACCAGGACTAAACCAGGACTAAACCAGGACTAAACCAGGATTAAACCAGGACTGAACCAGGACTGAACCAGGACTAAACCAGGACTAAACTAGGACTGAACCAGGACTGAACCAGGACTGAACCAGGATTAAACCAGGACTAAACCAGGACTAAACCAGGATTAAACCAGGACTAAACCAGGACTAAACCAGGACTGAACCAGGACTAAACCAGGACTAAACTAGGACTGAACCAGGACTGAACCAGGACTGAACCAGGACTGAACCAGGACTGAACCAGGACTGAACCAGGATTAAACCAGGACTAAACCAGGACTAAACCAGGATTAAACCAGGACTAAACCAGGACTAAACCAGGACTGAACCAGGACTGAACCAGGACTAAACCAGGATTAAACCAGGACTAAACCAGGACTAAACCAGGATTAAACCAGGACTAAACCAGGATTAAACCAGGATTAAACCAGGACTAAACCAGGACTAAACCAGGACTAAACCAGGATTAAACCAGGACTAAACCAGGATTAAACCAGGATTAAACCAGGATTAAACCAGGACTAAACCAGGACTAAACCAGGACTAAACCAGGATTAAACCAGGACTAAACCAGGATTAAACCAGGACTAAACCAGGACTAAACCAGGACTATACCAGGATTAAACCAAGACTAAACCAGGACAAAACCAGGACTATACCAGGACTAAACTAGGACAAAACCATGACTAACCCTAACCGTGACTTTACACAAAAAGCAGCTAGCTTAACCCCGTTCTCATAAAGCACGGCCGCCTCGTCCGCCCTGTGTTTTGGGGCCTCACAGGCAGTACCTCAGATTTTCCAAACTCACGCCGCTGAAATGTAGTGAATGAGCATCCAGTGCGCATGGACGCTGCGTTCAACCGTCGGCGGTGTGAACGTAGCATTAGAGATTTTATTATATAGTTCTTAGGATAGAATTATTGTTTGTTAAATCTTGCGCTGTGTGGTCCTCTTTCCTTCTGTTCTGTAACTGGAGATGCAACACGGACATTTCCCTACGAATGAAGGATCTCTTCATCTTAACGTGTCTTTAGACCCTCCTCCATCGACAAAGAACAACTCAGGGAAGCCCACAGAGCGACGGGCTGTAGATCCAGGACTCAGGCTGTAGAACGAGGACCGAGGCCATGCGATGCAAGACTGTGGCTGTAAAACAACAAACAGCGACTATCTATGACATCATAAAAGTTTATTAACAAGGACCACTTCCTCTGTGCTGTGAGTGACACCGACTGGACTCTGACACCACTGTTTCACAGAAGCACACAGTCTGTGGATTATACCTGCAAGATTTTCACTTCTGGATTAAATCAACAATTTGCTATTTTTGGACAGCGAATGACAATATTGGAGTAACATTTTAATCGCACCGGCGAGAGAAACCATAAAGAAGTATTTGAAGTGATAAGGGAAGTTAGCATAAGGTAAGTTAGCATGAGGCTAGCAGCAGTTTGAACCAAATGAGAGGAGATCTCCCCTTGGTTGTTGTGTTCTTTTGTCCACATTTGAGTAAAAGAAATGTTAGCACCGACTACTACTGGATGTCTGTAAAACTAGCTTGTTGTAGAACTGGCTTGTTGTAGAACTGGCTTGTTGTAGAAAAAGCTTGTTGCATTACAGCGTTTGGAGGAAACTTTGATATATTCTGTTTAACACTAGGACGACCGGAAAGAAGTCTGTATCTGCCAGAGCCGCCATTTTGACTGCTCCCTTTCAAAAATCACAAACACAAATGGGAAACAGCGGAGGCTCAAATCCTATAGCAGTAAAGGGGGTAAGACCTAATATTATACAGAAGTCTCTTAAACAAACAAGATTCATATTTTAGAAGATAATTTTAATGATTAAAAGTTAATTGTGGAATGTGTTTTTTTTAGGGCTGTCAAACGATTAATTTTTTTTAGTCGCATAGTAATGGTGAGTTAACTCACGATTAATCGCATGTTTAACATTCTATTTCAAATCCACTCCAATTGAAGTTAAATGAGATTATCAAATATAATGACCAGTGTTGGGTAAGTTACTTTGAAAAAGTAATTAGTTGTAGTTACTAGTTACTTCTTCCAAAAAGTAATTGACTTACTGAGTCACTCCACTATAAAAGTTACCAGTTACCAGTAAAAGTAACTATTGCGTTACTTTTTCGTTTGTCGTGGTACCGAGCTTTAGCTGGCTGTAATTTAGGATAACTTCTAAGTAGATTAATTGTTGCAACAACCCCACCCTATTTTAGCATGGTATGTTAGTTTAGGGAACTGTCCTGCAGGAAAACAGGTATAAGACAGGCCAAGGTGCCATTTAATTAAATTGCATTTATTTTTATCCATTGATCAAACAAACACATTACAAAACTTGCAATTGAAAGAGACTATTTTAAATTAATTAGTTCCCAAAGACACACACGAGCAACACTCACGCCTGACAGCCAAGAACCAGGGAGAATACAGTACGCAGATGGTGCCTGACAGCCAAGAACCAGGGAAAATACAGTACACAGAGCGCACCTGACAGACAAGAACCAGGGAAAATACAGTACACAGAGCGCACCTGACAGACAAGAACCAGGGAAAATACAGTACGCAGATTGTGCCTGACAGACAAGAACCAGGGAAATTACAGTGCGCAGATTGTGCCTGACAGCCAAGAACCAGGGAGAATACAGTACGCAGATGGTGCCTGACAGCCAAGAACCAGGGAGAATACAGTACGCAGATGGTGCCTGACAGCCAAGAACCAGGGAAAATACAGTACGCAGATTGTGCCTGACAGACAAGAACCAGGGAAAATACAGTGCGCAGAGCGCTGAGTATGTGAACGGAGCAATCGCTTGCTGCTGTTATTATAATAGCTAGATCCATGCTTGCAGCCCGTGCAAAGCTTGCACTCACTCACAGCCGCTAACAACAACCAGAGCGGCCACGGAGGAGGCCATCTCACAGCAGCATTCTGAGTGATATTCTTATGGATAAATGGGCGGGTCATTCGGACATGCGTTAATGCGTTAAAAAAAAATAATGCGTTAATGAAAAATGTAATTAACGTGAGTTAACGCAATAATTTTGACAGCCCTAGTTTTTTTGTTTTTGAATGTGTTTTGGTTTTAATGTTTTTGTTTTGATCAAGGAGCAATGATGTCATTGTTAAAAGCTAAATTGACATTGTCGTTTTTAACATTTTCTCACAGAGTACAATAAAAATGGTTAAATATAAGTCCAAGCTCGAACAGCCGACCGTCCTGGATCTGAGAAAGGCCATAGAAGAAAGTCGAGGAGTCCCTTTAGGTAGATACAGGATTTTACCCACAGCACCTCAAACCATCTGGAACATTCTGTTCTGGACTTTTGTTGAGACTCAAGTTGTTCTCTGTGTTTCTTTTGCAGATCGAATGAGGCTCTTTTATAAGAGTCGTCCACTGTGCGATGATGCACTGATCTCTGACTTCATCTTTGAAAATATTCCAATGATACATCTGTACATGAAAATAGAAGGAGCTGTGGAGGTAAGTGAGCAATCTAACTCTGACAAAAAATGCGTTTCCACTGGCTCGCTTTTGTCGCTACCCGGTACTTCTTTAGTAACTGCTTGGCCCTGGTTCTACAGCTCACTTTGGATTGAAGACAAACACTCACCATTCCTCTCAAACTTAACATCTGGAGCTGGGACAAGGCAGAGTGAGGCTTCTTTCCAAGTCTTCGCTGGGTGTTTACCAGTGGGGGCGGGGACGTGCGCTGACATGCTGCAATACTACCCCGGGCCGATGGGGGTGGACCCGGAATAAGAATTATCCAATGCTAACATATAGCATTAGGTGACCTCTCGAAAACACATTTACAGGATGGTCCAAAAGTCGGCTCTTAGCCCAAAGCGCCGTTCCACATGTGTCAATGCTGAGTCTAGTTTACTCACTGTGAATTTTTGAAGGCACTCAAAAAATAGGGCTTGTGCAGCTGACGCATGCACAGATGCGTTTTTTTCACATTTTCCAGCCCCTGCGACTTTCAGCTTCTTAACTTTTCTCCACACTGTGATGATGGATATTCATTCTCCTCCTTCCCTAGCGCTACCTCCGCTAACACTTTCTCGTTTCGATGGCACCATCAAGCTCAAGCTGGTGTCCTCTCCTCAAACTGAGGAAGGTGTTGACCTCATCCAGCAACCAAGGAATTGTTTCCGTATGGATGTCTTTACAGTTTTCAGCTGGAACTTGAAGCAACTTGCTGTTTATGTTTATCACAGCAGCTGACGCACCAGCTGAAGAGTGATTGACAGCGCCTCTGACCAATCACAATTGACGTTTGGTGATGTCAGATTGTTTTGGTATCTACTCGGCCGGCTAGAACCAGGGCCAAGCCGATACTAAAAAGTATGGGGTGGCGGCGAAAGCGAGCCGGTGGAAACGCCCACAAAAGAGGGAAAAATGTGTGCCGCTTTTTATTCCCCCGGGGCCTGCTTTTAAACACTGGCTTAATTGGCGTAGGTTGGCAGGGCTCTGATTGGCCGAGGGTGAAAGGGGCGGGCTTGGATGGACTGCTGCAGGGAGCCTACCAGACTGAACTTCCACAGGAAGGAAATGTTGACGTTGTGGTTTTTTACTGTTTTCTCACAGATGAAGATCAAAATTCCCACTGACAAAACTGTAGTTGTAAAGTATGATTGCAAACAGTTCCAACAGTCGACTTTCCTGGATCTGAAAAAGTCCATAGAAGACCAGGAAGGAATCCCTACAGGTAGATACAGGATCCAGAGCTGTTTTACCCACAGCACCTGAAACGGTCGGCACTAGATCATATACGGAATCGGGACGAAACCGGAAGTAACGATCATACTAGTTTTAGACCAGTGTCTCCCAAAGTGGGGTCCGCGGCCCCCTGGTGGGCCGCGAGGGTACTGCAGGGGGGCCGCGGGAGGTCATAAAAAAAATAATATAATTATTTAATGTTAAATTTATAATGTTTTGTTTGTAATATTAAAATATTTGTGTTCATTATTTGACTTGAATAATCCACTGTAATCATTTTTGTATTACAATGTTTGTAGCAGAGGCTATTTCCCCAAAATAAAATAACCAGAAGAGCCTATTCTTAATGTTGTCTTCTTGGTTATTATTTTGGGGGGGCCATGCAGACCCGTCAGATTTTTAAGGGGGCCTCGGTGTTACTGAGTTTGGGAATGGCTGTTTTAGACTAATAAGTCCTTAAATGGTGACTGGTTTTAGGCGTCTGATTAAGATGGTTAAGGTTAGGGTTAACGCTGGGTTGGGGTTATTTTATGGGAATGGCTGGTTAAGTTTAGGCATGAATAGGTAGTTTGTTATATTTACTTCCGCTTCCGTCCCGATTCCGTATATGATCTAGTGCTGACCCACCTGAAACCATCTGGAACATTCTATCCTGGATTTGTTGTGACACAAGTCGCTCACTGTGAGAGGCGTGAAGTAAACAGTGTGTTGCTATGGTAACTAGTAATCGCTCTTCACTGGTGGAAAACCAAGCAAAGTTCAGAACTAGAAGTAGTCCATGACCAGCATTTTGCAAAGGTGGTCACCAAGCAACAGAATATTGCTCCATTTGAACTTTACATTCAAATGAATGGAGCAGTCGAAATGACTGTGCTGGGAGCTAAAGGTAGCACTTTCAAAATGTCTTCCTGAAAATAACATCAGAGAAATCAATGATGCGTAGAAACAGAAAAGGTCACAAAGTTATGAAGATCAAAAAGATTCATGATTAATTGCATGTTCAGAAACTGAACCGTCAAATGGACTGCTCTGGGAGTTCTAGTTCTGTCACGTCTTGGACCAAGTACAGCTGATGATGCAAGAGTTGATCCAGGTAAAATCGGACGCAAAAACGGCACAAATGTGACGTTTATCCAAATTAGAGTCGAACAAACTTTCGCCTCAGACACCAGCTGTGAACATGAATGTTTCCATGAACAGTAATAACATAATAATAACCCTGTTTCTTTTGCAGGTCAAATTAGCCTCTTTTATAAGAGTCGTCCTCTGTGCAATGATGCACTGATCTCTGAAGTCATCTTTGAAAAGAATCCAAAAATAGACTTGAACTTGAAACTAGAAGGAGCTTTAGAGGTAAGTGAGCAATCTAACGCTAACTTAAAGACAGCGTTTAAGGGTGCTTTCACACCTGCACCATTTAGTCCACTTAAAGCGGACTGGAGTCTGGAACACCTGCAAGTACGGTTCGTTTGAGCAGGTGTGAAAGTGGACCAGTTAAATTTGGTCCGGACTAAAGAACCGCACCGAGACCACCATATGGAGCTGGTCTCGGTGCGGTTCCATGTGGACTCCAGTCTGGTTCGCTGCTGGTGAGAACGCAGACCGGCCTCAATATGGCCCTGCTCTGTTGCGTACACTGTAAGAAATGATTCTGTGGTCATGTAGATTTGAATTAATGTATCAGGTAAAATATATTCAATATAATTGTGTTTTTGATTTTCAAGCAAACATTTAATTACATTTCATATAAAAATGTTCTGAATAAAATCCACCCATATTATTTAAATACATATTAAGCAATATGTTTATCTAATTCCAAACAGACAGAATATTGAGTGAATTCAAATTAATATAATCAGGCAAATTTGAATGGGAAAGCACTTCCAGGTCAAAGTGCACATTATATTTTTGTAACTGACGCTGCAGGCTATCATCGCGCCACAAGACATTTGAAGAGAGTTGCAGACTTTGATTGATCTGGACTACTAAGGTAAGAAAACGTATTCTATGATGGGCTAGTGAGAAGAAAGCATGTAGTGGTAAATGACAATGAGGCGAGCTATAATAGAACAAGAGACTCAGTAGCAACAGAAAGTTGGCTTCTGTTGGAAAGGCTATTTGATGTATTAGCGTGATGTTGCTGCACAAAATATGAAAAAGGCATTGCACATTTTTAAAGAATTTATGGTTCGAAGACAAACAATTATTTTGAAGCAGCATTTCCGCTATGGTGTTCCCTACGTTTCAGCGTTCCCTACATGCCTCGTGTGTTGATGTCGCCAGTATGTTTTATTGAAATTACGTAAATGGGTTAAATAAGAACATTGGGTTTAATGATAAAGTTCAGACACACAAATAGTGTGGGTTGTCGTTTGAAGTATAACGAGTATCTCTTATTTTGAAATGTACTTTCCCTACTTTCGTTTACTTCCTGCATGGAGTTTGTCTTCTTAGGCGGGTAACTTCTCTGTTGTTGGGCGGCACGGTGGCTGAGTGGATAGCACTCTCGCCTCTCAGCAAGAAGGTCCTGGGTTCGAATCCCAGTCGGACCAGGGCCTTTCTGAGTGGAGTTTGCATGTTCTCCCCGTGTCTGCGTAGGTTTCCTCCGGGTACTCCGGTTTCCCCTACCACTAAAAATATGTCCAATAGTTCTAGCATGTGCTTCCTGTACTGGCGACCCCGCTCCCATCTCTGTGTGGAGTGAGAGACAAATGCCCAAAATTAACAATTGTAAACCGCTTTGAGACTCAGATCTGCAGTGAAAAGGCCGTATATAAATAAAAACTTACTTACTTACTTACTTACTTACTGTTGTTGCAAATACGAAGGTAACTCACTTAAACACACGTGAAATCAGTCCGTTAACAACGTAACGTTTTAGATCCGCAACTTTATTTCTTTTCATGCATAGGCCAAAGTTTCTTTATTTATTTAAGTGCGGTAATGCCCGGTCCACAGCGGCTAGGACTTAACTTTAGCATGGGGACGGAGGCTTAACATGACACAAACGTTCTCATTCTACAGCTAAACGGCACACGGAAGAGTTTTCTGGTAAAATTTTAGTGACAGAATACTGTTTCATATATTAGCGGTGTTCGGTTTAATTGTTGAAGTTTCGTACGCCCTACGTCGAACTCCGACGGGGGGAAAAAATAGTAATTTAACAATTTGTTGAATGTTGATGAATAGCTTGTTGACTCATGTAAATTATGTAGCTATATTTCCTATAGAAAATATAGCTACATAATCATTTGAAGACCTAATGAACCTAATCGGACTATTGAAAGAAAATCATGTAAATTATATTTTTAATGAAGTAAATCTACATTCAACCACAGAATTGTTGCCGAATCAAACAATGGCTCCTGTATGTATTGGGGAGTTCTGCATGAATTTATGCAGTAGTCGTGTCCTTTCAGCTTTTTTAAACACATAATACCACATGGAGATGATTTTAATCTGTAGAAATGAGAAACTACAAGTCACTTCTCATATCTAACCCTAAAGATAAGATAAGATAAGCTTTATTCATCTCACAGAGGAGACATTTAAATTTAAAACATGTGTGTTTTCCTTAGGTGCCGCCAAATGAGATGGCAGTGTAAAGTCTGGACTCAGAGCAACAACAAAAGGTGATCTTCTGCAGCATTATAGACTACAGCACAGGACGTTTGAAATTGGAAATTCGTACCTTGTCTTGATTTTGATTGTCCATGAAAATCTTGGAAATCTCCTGGAAAATTATTTCAAGTAAAGAGTCGGAACCCTGTATATAAATAAGGACAGAACTGATGGGCATGAACAAAACCTCAACTACACGATCCAGATGTACAAAAACAGATTTTTGTACATCTGGTGTTGATGTTTCTAAATGACAGAAACCAATGATTTTTAATTACATTTTATTTACTGACTTAATAGTTGTTGTATTCCTCCCCAGGACACAGTGCACTCTTCAGTTGAGAGGACCAGAGAGGTTGTCCTTCGGTGTCTTATGGAATACCTTGGAGAACAAGGGGACCATCTCATCAAAGAATTCAACGTATGTGAACTTAATTTGCATTAATTTATTTCAAGCACCGTAATTCCTTAATTCCTCAAGTGGGTGCTGTTAAGTAGATTGACACAGGTCTGTCATTGTTGTTGTTTTTTTGTAGTATCTTTTTTTAACAGCTTCAGTGCTCCCTGTCATAGATTCTCCAATCTCTGAACTCAACTGAAAGGATGAACCGAGAGTAGGGATGGGTATCATTAAGGATTTATCGATAGTACTACTCTTATCGATACTCCTTATCAATCCGGTACTTTAACGGTACTCTTATCGGTTCTTTAAAAGGACAAAAAAGTTAGATAGAGGCTACTGTATAAGTAGGCATTATATTTATTTTTTATTAGTCTACATTTTATTTCCAATTTGCGCGTACACTTAATATATGGGAGTTAAAATGGGCTACTTCACGTACTTTACCATTTTTTTACATTGTTATTATTATTAGTAGTAAATCAAGGCTGTTGGTTAGATTTGGCTGTAGCTTTGGGGACCGAGTCCAAATGAAAACTTGCTGCAGTAAAATAATGAACTAGACTCGAGTCACTTCCTGTGTGTGTGCACGTACACACTGCCGTGTGCGCAGTTTGTGGAAAAACAGACCACCCGAAACTGTAAAGTTCGAGTATTTGTGAAAGAAGAAAAGTGCACGTGGCTCGTCTGTTCAGTACGAAGTCGTTATGTGTGGCTTTTTAGCGCCGGTTAGCGGCAGTAGCTCGGGGGGGTTTCTGAGTAGATTAAGCACGTTTTGAATGTCTAACACAGCGTGTCTTTCCCGCGCGTACCTGTCTCGCTGCAGAGGGGAAACAGGCATGGACGTCGGAACTATTTTCTGAGAGGGGGGGCGGGTTTTTGTTGGTTGCATCTTAATTGTTAAGAAAACGAAAATTAAACAATATAGATCAAGCAAGGCACTTATCAAACTGAACATTGTTTTTTCAAAGAAACAAACACAATTTTGCCGTATGGCACGTGCGCACTGTCAGACGCTGTAAAGGATGTAAAAAAAATACATTTTTAAAAGCTGGAACAATGGAACAATTTTAAGTAAATCGCACTGACACTGACAGAAAAGGAACAGTTTGCAATCATATAAGAACTTTCATATTTTCCTAAAAGTGAACCTTCTCTCAGTGAACTACTGATGAATTATAAAGCAGGGTAGAAACATCTCATCTATCAGGTCACTCTGCGCATTCAAGCGTCAGTCTCTCCGGCGGCTTCAGTGTACTGTGCGGTCAGATGAGGCAGGTCAGGGCCAGCCTCACCTAGATCATAGAAAGAAAAATAATAAAATGGATACAATAATGCTTGGTCACTATATCAAGTGATTTGTGCAGTGCATTATTTCAATGTGACTTTGCCTTTGCCTAGATTTGACAGAGCGGCGCTGTGAGGCGAGCCTCTCTTGGGAGACGTAAAACCTGCAGCTCACAAGGAGAGGCCTGTGAGGTGCTATCAAACTGTTTTCTCTGTTTATAGCAGTTTAATTAGTTAAACAATATTTAATTTACAATCAACATGTTTACAAGATGGCTCATAAATTGTGTTTTTGAAGCAAATATGGGTCTTAATCGCGCTCAACCTCAGTTTGTAAGTGAGGAAAGCCTCAAGGGGGCGCTTGTGAGCCCAACATTTGGCTGCATTCAATTCCATCAGAAAGCTCCTTTTTTGTTCTTCATCTGCTAAGGGCAGCTACAGGTTTGGCTAACATACATATATTACATTTTAAGATAATTTAAAATTCACTTAGGGTAATGTTATGCTTCCAATGATGATATGAATCATAAGAAAAAGAGGTGAAGGGTAAGGTTGATATTAGAAATTGGATTCATCCGGGAGTCGGCTTCAGCGAAACACAGGAGTTTATGGAGGAGACACCCGTTTGTTTTACTTTTTAAAACTCATTGAACTTATTTCCAAATGGAGGATTACATCTCTGCGCTCAAACTATTATCTGGACTTAAACATGAGACTGGTCTGAACTGAACTGGTCTGTGTTGTTCATTAATAACTAAGGTAAGGACCCTAACACACTTGGAAATGCGCTTTTTTACAAACTTTTGCGTTTTGTATGTATCAAACTATGCAGACGTTAAAACATGTTCTGCTGTAGCCAAACAAATTGTGAATAAGCCTCTCTGTAGGTCTAGTTGATTTATATGATGTATAATCATATGAACTCATGATTGATCCCCCACCGCACGTCACTGGTGTAGCCAGGTCTTTAATCTGCGCAATAAGGCTGAGAAAGAGCGCTCAGAGGCCGCGACAGATATCCAGACAGAGCGTCATAAGCTTCTCCTCCTCCGACAGCATGGAGCGGGTTTGGGGCTGCAAGGAGCGCAGGATAGACGCAACATCTCGAATCATGATAACTTCTCGCTCCCGGCACACGCGGAGGGGGTGCGGCCGCACCCTCCGCACCCCTAGTTCCGACGTCTATGGAAACAGGGCAGTGGCAGAGCGCGGGGAAGGGTCGACACCATGCGCTCTCGTGCAGGGTAGCGGGGATGAACAGATCCGATGCAACGAACGCATCCATGAGAGCGGAGAGAGACTTATTAAAAATTATTATTTGAGCGCGTGTGATTAGTGCAGCAATACAGCGGCCCCGTTTAGAAGACCGTTAGAGCTTATCGGTCCAGGTGGAGCGGCACACCCCTCATGACAATGAAAGAACAATTTGAGACCAAGGCCCATGGGAAAATAAAATGTAATAAAATAGATGTAAAAGCTATGAAAACAATAATGAATGTAGTGTCTACTATTTTTGTTCTGACAGTTTTTTATAATAAGACACTTACAATTTCATGTTGCAGGACACTGAGAACTTGGAGGAACTCCAACAGCAGCTCATAATGACTATCACTGTGACCTCAACGCCTGGAGCTTCTGCAAACGACAGGCCCAAGAACGTTGGAATTGTCATAGAGGGTGTGGAAGTCATCACAGGACTTGGAGATATTGCAAGGGCTTGCTCCGTCCTCCTTGGCTTGACCTATGCGTTGAATCTCAGTTATCTCACACAGCTGAAGTACACATTTGAGGTATTCCAAAAACTTTTCTTGGAACTGGATGATTCAAAGTTGTCAAACAAAGTCCAGTCCCTCAAGAGCAAACTTCTGGCTTGAAATGAGACTGTAGTTGCAACATAAACTTTTGTTCTACACAATGTTCACCTTCTACAGAGCTTGAGAAAGGCATATTTGGAAGTGCTATGTTTGTGAGTTTGCACTGATTTGGACTTTGTCCCACAAAGGTCAATTACATTTCAAATGTTATTTCAAAGAACATTTATTTATTTTTATTTTTTATTTCTACCGTGTACAAATGGCACTTTAGTAATTTATGTAAAGTAAAGTTCTGGTTTGAAATGTGTGAGCAGACTTCTAGTTGGAACATGAGACTACAGAGCTAGGAAAATGCACATTTCAAAGTGCTATGTTTGTGAGTTTGCACTGATTTGGTTACGTTTCATAGGTCAAAGAACAAATGTTTTTTTCCTACTTTGTACAAATTGCACTTTTATGATTTTATGTTTTGGCACATGCATACTGCTTCTACTGGCTGCTGCTTGAGATGCCTCGGATAACCGCATCCGGTTGTTAATTGTTAATAAAATGCTAATTTGAGTATTAATTGAGTTCTGTACTTTATGGGCAATGTACTAGTTATTCTTAAATGTATTTAGATTTAATTCATTGCATTGATTGAATTCAAATCAATTCACAGATTAGTAATACATTATTATTACTCAATTATATACAATTGATAGGTAGAATTTAATTAATTTTTATTAGTACTATTTGCACATTATAGGGAGTTCATATTCTTCAAATTAACTCAATATTTTTGTTTAGTTTTAATTAATTCTGCTCTCTCTTCCTATTTGAATCTACTCATATTAAATAGATAAATTTTAAGTGTCTTATTTAATTAGTATTTACTCAATTCTAAGCAATGTAAAATCTAATTAAAACAATTGCTTGTAATCTGTTGCCTCATTTTTATTGAGTAGATAGCTCACTTTTTGACACACATTGTTTTTTTATATGATAGAATCGTCAAAAACACAGATTGTTCTCGTGCTGATCTCTGTGATACAAACTGGAACAACAGTATTTGTTCTGCACAAAACAACGATGATAAAAAATAGCCAAAACACGCAGAGTAGCACAGTCACATACGTCATCCAATACACAGTATTTTGTGAACAGCGCCACCACATGGGCAGAATATGTAACATCCACAGTGGTTGGTTCATTTTCAAAAACACTGGTGTGAATGAGAACCGAACTAGTTGAGAACTGCAACATTGTAACAACTTTAGGGCCCAAGCGAACCACTTTACTGGACCAACAGGTGTGAAAGCACCCTTAGTAGTGAATTGTGTCTCACAGATGGTTTTGAGCTGAAATGATCAATATCATTCATCTCTGAAACATTTCCTATATGTGCTGAATCTCGGGAGGGTATTTAAAGTCCAACACCTATCTTTCAATCTGGAGGGACTACACAAAGCAGTGTTTCCCACAGGTTTGAAGGCAATGTGTGGTGGTCGTCGGCGGGGGGGGGGGGGGGGGGGGGGGGGGGGGGGGTGGGGTACAGTGGTACAGTGGTAGAGGACAATCTTGAGGTCATGAATCCAGTGAAATTAGTCACACACCTTTTTACAGTAATAAGTTACAGCAGATCAAAAGTGACATGTTTTGACAATTTTTAGGCTATTTTGGACCAAAATGGCTGCTTTAAATCAATATTTCTACAGTAAAAGTTTCTGGTCTTTGGTACAGTGGTAGAGGACAATCATGAGGTCGTGAATCCAGTGAAATTAGTCGCACACCTTTTTACAGTAAAAAGTTACAGTAGATCAAAAGTGACATGTTTTGACTATTTTGGAGGTATTTTGGACCAAAATGGCTACTTTACCTCAATATTTCTCAATATTTCTACAGTAAAAGTGTCTGGTCTTTGGTACAGTGGTAGAAGGCAATGTTGAGGTCATGAATCCAGTGAAATCAGTTGCACACCTTTTTACAGTGAAAAGTTACAGTAGATCAAATGTGACATGTTTTGACCATTTTTAGGCTATTTTGGACCAAAATGGCTACTTTAAATCAATATTTCTCAATATTTCTACAGTAAAAGTGTCTGGTCTTTGGTACAGTGGTAGAGGACAATCTTGAGGTCATGAATCCAGTGAAATTAGTCGCACACCTTTTTACAGTAAAAAGTTACAGTAGATCAAAAGTGACATGTTTTGACTATTTTGGAGGTTTTTTGGACCAAAATGGCTACTTTACCTCAATATTTCTCAATATTTCTACAGTAAAAGTTTCTGGTCTTTGGTACAGTGGCAGAGGGCAATAATAAGGTCATGAGTCAAGTGAAATTAGTCGCACACCTTATTCCAGTAAATAGTTACAATACTTGAAAATTGCACTAGCGGACCAAATTGTGTACTTTATACATGTAAACAATAGAGTGGCTATCCTCCTGAGGACTCACAATCTGCCGGAGGAATCGTAGGGGGCTGGTGCTATGTGTGCCGGGTGGCATCTCTATAAGGTTTTAATCACAAAAGCGCGCTTTCTGTTCGATAAAAATGGGTGACTCCGAAAGGACGTTCCGCTGTTACCGTAAGTTCTCAACAAAACGCGCACCGTCTTTTCCCCGATGCGGGCCGCATGTTCATAGAGCTGAAAGATGCGGGCCACTTTACCGCGGTAAATTAATAGACACAGCTGCTTACAGCGATGATCGCTGATGGAGACGGAGACACGCGGTGTGCACGAAGGGGAGGGGCTGTGTGTGTGTAGGTCTCTGTATGTGGGAGAGACGCGTAGCTTGAGTGAGAGTTACGAAGGGCCGCCACATTTTAAACCCCCCTCCCCGCTGTCAAATTGACCGCTGCGGCGGCACTAGACGATGCATGTTTTAAATAGCGTAACAAAAAAAAAATATATATAATAATACGAAACGCAATTTGTGGCGGGCGGTCTCTAATCTGTGGCGGTGCGCCACAGATTAGTCTATGTGTGGGAAACACTGCAAAGACAGAAAATGCATTAAATGAAGTTACTGTATGTATTTCAATCTGAAAAGACCAATACAGACACATTAATGCATGAAAAGATTTATTTGTTTGGCGCATTGACATTGGTAGAGACACTTGTAGAGGGGAGATCATTTGCTGCTGAAGATGATCTCATCGGGGTCAAGCATTGGTGGTGGCTAGAAGCATGGCGTGAATGGGGCGTAGGCGGAGCAGGAGCCAGAGCAGGAGCCAGGGTAGGAGTTTGAGGAGGTGCTGGGGAGGGGGTGGGCGCTGTTTATCAGGAAGTGGCTGCTTTTAAACTGCCCGCTTTGCTGTCAGTGGGTTGGCTAGAGGCTGTCCGGGCTGTGTAATTGGCTGGCCCTGGACGGGGTCAAAGCTCTGGCATGGTCTTCTCAGTCTGAATTTATGCTTCAGCTTCATTTGTTTTTTTTGCCCTAAGTCCCGGCTGCGGCACTTGGTCTGTGAAGATCACTCTTTGTCTGCCCCTTATAATCCCCCCGGAGCCTAGGTACTGGAGTTGGCATAAGACCTAGCGAGGCTGGAAAAGGGTTAGTTGATTGAAGTTTCTGCTTTTAAACACTGGCTTAATTGGCGTAGGTTGGTAGGGCTCTGTGATTGGCCGAGGGTGAAAGGGGCGGGCTTGGCTGGGCTGCTGCAGGGGCCTACCAGACTGAACTTCCACAGGCTGCATGCATTGAAATGTTGACATTGTGGCTTTTTACTGTTTTCTCACAGATGGAGATAAAAATGCCCTCTGGCAAAACTGTAGTTGTAAACTATGATTGCAAACAGTTCCAACAGTCAACTTTCCTGGATCTGAAAAAGTCCATAGAAGAAAAGGAAGGAATCCCTACAGGTAGATACAGGATCCAGAGCTGTTTTACCCACAGCACCTGAAACCATCTGGAACATTCTATCCTGGATATTTTTCAAGTCTCTCACCCTGAGAGACGTGAACTAAACAGTGTGTTGCTATGGTAACTAGCACTTGCTCTTTGGTGGAAAAGCCACAGACACCATAGCTCCCAGGATCATCTGAGTACTCAATCTCCCCCATCATGTTCAGGTGGCAGTCCTCCAGGGAGACAGTAATAACATAATAATAACCCTGTTTCTTTTACAGGTCGAATGAGGCGCTTTTATGTATATGAGAGTCGTCCACTGTGCGATGATGCACTGATCTCTGACTTCATCTTTGAAAAGAATCCAAAATTACATTTGAACTTGAAAATAGAAGGAGCTGTAGAGGTAAGTGAGCAATCTAACTCTAACTTAAAGACAGCGTTTAGTGAATTGTGTCTCACGGATGGTTTTGAGCTGACCTGTACCAATATCTAGCCTGACTCTCGCCAGACCCTTGTAGTTCGCTGAGCTTGCCAGATGCTGGCAAGATTTTATAGCCCAAAACCCGCAAAAATGCCCACAAAAAAATAAAAACCCAGGAGAATCAACTCGGGGTATCAAGATTCTGTTTATTGTCTTGTCTATTTATTACCTACACGTAGCTTGGAACACAAGTATGAAGCAAACGACCCAACCTGGCAACCCTGCTAGTGTAGTTTTTGACAGCAGTTAAACCAGTACTTAAACCAAACTCTTCACAAACTTATTACTCTTAAAACCCACCAACAACATCTCGCCTCATATTGCAAGAAAAGATACATCCGTGTCTTTATTCGTTCATATTTAAACTTCAATTTACATTTATTTATGTTTCACGTGTAACATCATATTGGCCCGCGGCCCACTGGCACATTTTCATTTTGGCCCTTGGAAGCATAAAGTTTGGACACCCCTGGCCTGGGTAATGCTGATGGCATTAGGGTGAAGCTCAAAAGTCTAAGGAGGAGGAGGGGAGGAGGTGGGCTGCTGCAGGGAGCCTACTAGGGGTGTGACAATATATCGATTTTTCGATATATCGCGATACTTTCTCCCGCGATTCGATTATCAATATGCATTTGCCAAGTAGTTTTTTTTTTTTTTTTTTAATTTTTTTTTTTTTAAATTGGTATATGGCTACATTACGCATCTCCATTCCATTTATCATGAAATAAAGTGTATTTTTTCTTTTATTCATGCCATAAATTGGCATAATGTATATTTCTGACCAATATATTGATAATCATCATATCATGATAATATTGTTATCGTGATAATATCGTTATTGTGAGCTTTGTATCGTGTATCGTATCGTATCGTGAGGTACCCTTAGGTTCCCACCTCTAGAGCCTACCAGACTGAACTTCCACAGGCTGCAAACATTGAAATGTTGACGTTATGGTTTTTTCACTGTTTTTTCACAGATTAAGATGGAAACGCTCTCTGGCAAAACTGTAGTAGTAAACTATGATTGCAAACAGTTCCAACAGTCGACTGTCCTGGATCTGAAAAAGTCCATAGAAGAAAAGGAAAGAATCCCTCCAGGTAGATACAGGATCCAGAGCTGTTTTTACCTGTAGCGCCTGAAACAATCTGGAACATTCCATTCCAGTCTCTCACCGTGAGAGGCGTGAAGTAAATATTGTGTTGCTATGGTAACTAGCACTCGCTCTTCTCTGATGTGAAACCAAGCCAAATTGGTTCAGAATTAGTGCAGAATCAGTCCAGGACCAGCATATTGAAGAAAGACATCATTGTAATATAGAAGGATGATGATGTGGAGTTAGTAAACGGGAGACGAAGAGCTGAGTCTCACTGAACTTTATTTCTACAACAGTAATCCATCATAGGTGGCAACACTTCCCCTCTTATCCCCTATCCCCGGAAACCCCAGCCCCTTCACAATAATACTTTTGTGTGTGAGTTCACCAAACAGTCACCACACAGGCCCCCCCAGAACACACAAAAGAACGCATTACCCTAACAAGCCACAAAATAAAAATATTAAAGGTAAACACTAAGAAAATCTAACAGGGACTACCTCAGGCCACCGCGTGGTCCTGTCCACCATGGTCAGGAGGTGAGTGAAAAAAGGGCCCAAGGGAGCTTTAATGTGACGCTGCACCTTGGCACGCTGGAAGGCCACGCAACTCTTAACGTCCCTCCTGAGGCCGGGCCATACGAACCTAGCGTCCACCAACTTCACTGATGCTTTAATACCGGGGTGAGACCGGGACAGCCTCAAAAATGCGGCCGCGCCAGGCAGCAGGTACCAAGTGGCGTGGTCTGTTTGTAGAAACGTCACAAACCGAAATGTCGCCCACATCCTCCAACTAAAAACTACAGTCAGCGGTGCGCAGCGCTTGCACCTCCGAATCCGCCAGCTGGTCTGCAGCCATCTCCACATAGTCAATACCTAAATTAACAGTGGAAACCGGAGCCCGAGAGAGACAGTCCGTCACTGCATTGTCCTTTCCTGCAACATGTCGAATATCACAAGTAAATTCAGAAATAGTGGATAACTGCCTTTGTTGCCTCGCCGACCACGGTTAAGTGGTTTCGGCCATAGCAAATATAAGGGGCTTGTGATCCACATGAGCAGCAAACTCTCAGCCTTCCAGGAGAAACCTGAAGTGGCGTGTGGTAAGAAAAAGGGCCAAGAGCTCTCAAACGCACTGTACTGCCTCTCCGACTTTCGCAACTTTCTACTGAAAAAGGTCAGAAGCCACCAGGCACCATCTGACCACTGCTCCACCACTGCCCCACCGTGCAATCAGACGCATAGGTGATAAGTGCGACAGGTGCAGCAGGATCAGGATGGGTTAACCGGTCAAACGCCAGCAACCTTTCAGGGGACCACTCTATGACTTGGTTACCCCTCAAAGCATCATACAAAGGGTGCATAAGGTGGGCAGCATGGGGGAAGAAGCGGTTATAGAAGTTAACCATGCCCAAAAACTCCTGTAATGGCTTTACAGAGGAGGGGCGGGGAAAAGCTAAAACTGCTTCAACCTTAGCAGGGCGTGGTACCCTACCTCGAAACACTGTGCCCCAGGAACTCGATCTCTGACTGTCCAAATTGGCACTTAACTGGATTTACAATCAACCCGTGTTCGGTGAGCCGCACAAAAAGGAGGCAGAGGTGCAAGCTGTGCTCTTCCACGGAAGGACTCGCCACCAGTATATCGACGAATATGAAGGGCATGTCCATTAACCGCTGAAAAGTCTGCGCTGCCCCCTTAAGGCCAAATGGTATTCTTAAAAAATAAATAAAAAAATAAGACTTAATAACAGCAGTCTTAGGGACATCTTGTGGGTGGACCGGCACCTGATAGTAACCTCTAACCAAATCCAAATATCACAGCCCACGCCAGGTGCGCAGAAAAATCCTGAATGTGGGGAACCGGGTACCTGTCGTTGGTTGTGATGTTGTTAAGGCGACGGAAATCCCCACACGGGCGCCAACCACCGTCCGATTTGGGAACCATGTGCTCAGGAGAAGCCCGCGGGCTGTTGGAACGCCGCACAATTCCAAGCCTCTCCATGTTGGAAAACTCCTTATTAGCAACGATCAACTTCGCAGTATCTAAACGCCGAAGCAATACCCTCTTTAGTGCCTCGTACTTCCCATTGTAAGGCGGGTCGCAAAGTAGTCCTATTATCCTACGAGTAGTGGCCGAATCCGGCCGCGGCGATATGGTAATATCTCGTAACGTCCGTGGTAATGCCGTGCAGATGAAACTGGGCTTCTACATGCTGAAACCACGGCTCTGGGTCGTGCGTCCAGCACTCCGGAAGTTTCACTGTAGCCGCAAAAACAGCAGGTGGGGTGACAGCAGCGCCAGATGAGGAATTATCTTGCAACATGCCTATAATGTCCAATGTCAGGGTCACCAATGTGGAGTTAGTAAACGGGAGACGAAGAGCTGAGTCTCATTGAACTTTAATTCTCCAGCAGTAACACTCCAACTCTTATCCCCTCTACCCGGAAACCCCAGCCCCTTCACAATAATACTTTAGTGTGTCGTGGTGACTGTTTGGTGAAACAAAATATGATTTATGAAAATAACCATGTAGACATAAATTACAAAGCTGACGTACTTTGTAATTTCGTATTTTCTATTTTTTACAATTGTGATATCAAACAAACTTCAACCTCAGACATAATCTGTAAACATGCTACCATGAAACAACACTAACATTGGCTCTTGGGAACCTCACTGGGGGGGATGTTGTCCTGTTGGATCCAACAAACCAGGACCTGCAACAAGCACAGGGACGGTTTGCAGCCGAGTGTGACGTGGCTGGGAGAATCAGCACCTCCAAATCTGAGGCCATGGTGCTCGACCGGAACAAGGTGCATTGCCTTCTCCAGGAGGAGTTCAAGTATCTCAGGGTCTTGTTCATGAGTGAGGGAAGGATGGAGCGTGAGATTGACAGGCGGATCGGTGCAGCGTGCGCAGTGATGCACTCGTTGCATAGAGTAGAGCCGCTGCTTTGTAGAGCCGGAGTAGAGCTGCTGCTTCTCCACGTTGGGAGGAACCAGTTGAGGTAGTTCAGGCATCTGTTCCGGATGCCTCCTGGACGCCTCCCTGGAGAGGTGTTCCGGGCGCGTCCACTGGGAGGAGACCCCGGGGAAGACCCAGGACACGCTGGAGGGACTGGGAACGCCTTGGGGTCCCCCCGGACGAGCTGGAGGAAGTGTGTGTGGATTTAGAAGTCTGGGCGTCTCTGCTTAGACTGCTTTCCCAGCAACTGGGTAACGGATGAAGCGGAAGACAATGGGTGGATGGATGGAACACTAACATAATAAGATCCCTGTTTCTTTTGCAGATCAACAGAGGCTTATTTATGAGGGTTATCAACTGGACGATGATGATGAGCTCTCTGAAGTCCTCTCTGAAAATAATCCATCAATACATTTGATTTTAAGATTACCTGGAGGAGGTATTCCCTTCGAAACCATTGGTGACGGAGCTGGACGGAGACGGAGTATGGACTGTTTGGCTGATTTTGATCAACCTGATGGATCTAACAGTCCTATGTTCAAACTCCTTTTTGAACTTTGGGTTCACCAGTGATGTCACATGAACACGTGTCCTACCCTGTGTTTTATAGTAGATCAGTATTTCAGAAGTAAAACATGTATTCTCATTTTCAGCTTATTCTGTAAATTTTTGAATAAAAGATATTTCCGTTTATATTACCTGTGGGTTTGTCAAAGAGAAGACCTGCATCCATGTTTCTATTGCTCATAGACTTACATTTTAAACTGCTCTTAACGCCTGAAGTTTTACTGTTTTGAAGTTTAGGTCAGATTGCATCATTACCCCTGGATTTCTGACCTAGGGGGTGACTATTGATGCTCTGCCTTTGTTTTGTGGTGACCAAAGACAATCATTTCAGTTTGTCTGCGTTTAGCTGAAGGAACTGACCTGTTGGATACTGTGAAGGAGTGAGTCCACTGGTCCATGTTCTCCTTCAGTCAGTGAGACATAGATCTGAGTGTCGTCTGCGTACTGGTGATAGGTCAGTTAATACGCAGAAACAATGTGTGCTAACGGCAGCATGTCGTTAATGAACAGATTTGGCTCTGGCTGCTCTGGAGAGCAACTTCAGTGACAGACTTTTTCACCTTCGCTGTGTGAAGGAGAGGCTCCGCAGGTCTTTCCTTCCTGTCAGACTGTACAACAAACAAGGAGGACTAATGACCACTGCCAACTTGATCTCACGGGTCATGCGTAGCTGCAATATCCTTAACTAATATCAGAATGTGCAATAACCACATTTGTTTCTCACTCTACACAGAGATAGGGGAAACCGGAGCACCTGAAGGAAACGTCCGTGGGCAAACCCCACACAGTAAGGCCTGGTGGTGGTCTCAAACCCAGGACCTTCTTGCTGCGAGGAATGAGCGCTAACCTCTGCGCCACCGTGCCAGTCTGAATTTACGCTTCATTTGTTTTCTGCATTCGACCCAATCCAATCCATTTTATTGATATAGCACATTTTATAAAACAAGTTTCCAAAGTTCTGCAGAGAGATAAAATCAAGACATTTAAATATGCACAAAGTTTAAAGAATACAAATGTAATAAAAACAATAAAATACCAGTTAACAATAAACATGTGATAAAACGAAAAAATACTAGTTATCAATTTTAAAATATAAACTAAAAACCATAAAACATATAAAAAGAGGACTACACAACTCACGCGGTGTTAAAAGCCAGAGAGAACAAATGCGTCTTAAGACAAGACTTCAAACATTGAAGCTTCTAGGGCCTCTTCCAGGAGGACCCAGCTCCAGATGTTGATGCTCTTGGTCAGAACCAGAACCAGAGCTTGAGAATTATATCTATTGAGGAAGCCGGAGCACAAGGAGGAATCCTACACTGACGTGGGGAGAACATGCAAACTCCACTCAGAAAAGCCCCTTTCTCAGAACCAACTCACTGAGAAGGTGGTAGGTGATTTATTTTCAAAGTAAGGATCAGTTAAATATATAATAATTATCAAGGATTTATATTAGTTTTAACTGTTGTGGTTTAAAATTAGGTACCCCAGCTTTAACCACAGCTCGAGATTCATCAAAGACCGCACAGTTTCTCTTCTGTTGACGCCAAAGCAGGATTTCTGTTCAATTTCTTGGAGATTTATTGGGCCAGAAATGTCTTTAAACCAGTGAACTATGTGTGTATAAACTTGTTTTTCTGATCAAAAAGCCCAAATCTGTTCTGATTCTAACCCAAGTTTAGTTTTTACAAAGGGCCATCGTACAGTTGGTTTATAAAGAGTTAATAACTCTGTGACCACTCCCTCTGTGCTGTGACACTCACGGAAATCTGACACCACTGCTTCAGAACCCGTTAGTTTTTCACTTCTGGATCAAAACGACTCAACAGCTTTGCTTCTTTTGGACAGCGAGAGACAGTATTGGATCAAAGTATAGGTTGATATTAAAAAGAAAAAGGAAACTGTTCTTTGCACCAACGTGAGAAACCAGACAGAAGGGATTTGAAGTGATAAGGTAAGTCTACAAATGACTCATTGGTTCATAAGTCTGAGTGGAGAATAGTAGAGTAGTTCAGAGCAGTGTAGAGCAGAGTACAGAGTAGAGTAGTGTAGTACAGAGCAGTGTAGAGCAGAGTACAGAGTAGAGTAGAGTCGAGGAGAGTAGCTTCCATGTCTTTTTGTACGCCCTGAATGATCAATAAAGTTGTATCTTATCTCAGAGTACAGCTGGTGGCTAGCACGAGGTACTGTAGTAATAGTACTGTAGTAATAGAGGTACTGTAGTAATAGTACTGTAGTAATAGTACTGTGGTAATAGTACTGTAGTAATACCATGTGTCGTTGAGTTTCCTCATTTGTGTCCCGTAAACTTTCTCTGGAATGTTCTTTCAGTTTTGATCTGGTGAACTTCAGCTCAGCGTCTGTAGAAAAATCTGGTTACATAATTCTGATTTGAACAGGAAGGAAGACCAAGGAAACTCCAAAAGATCCCTTCAAACATTTTATTATTATGACAAAACTTTATGACAGACACAAAGTCCAGATAAGATAAGACATCACACAACAACAATAACAATAATTATTATCAGACTGACTGCGGCATTTATTATCCTGCTACAATACATGTTAATACAATAATCCCTCCTGATGGAACAGTCACATCTCTCTCTCCTGATGGATCAGTCACATCTCTCTCTCTCTCCTGATGGATCAGTCAGATCTCTCTCTCCTGATGGATCAGTCAGATCTCTCTCTCCTGATGGAACAGTCAGATCTCTCTCTCCTGATGGAACAGTCACATCTCTCTCTCTCTCCTGATGGATCAGTCAGATCTCTCTCTCCTGATGGATCAGTCAGATCTCTCTCTCCTGATGGAACAGTCAGATCTCTCTCTCCTGATGGAACAGTCAGATCTCTCTCTCCTGATGGATCAGTCACATCTCTCTCTCTCTCCTGATGGATCAGTCACATCTCTCTCTCTCTCCTGATGGATCAGTCAAATCTCTCTCTCTCTCCTGATGGAACAGTCAAATCTCTCTCTCTCTCCTGATGGAACAGTCAAATCTCTCTCTCTCTCCTGATGGAACAGTCAGATATCTCTCTCTCTCCTGATGGAACAGTCAGATATCTCTCTCTCTCCTGATGGAACAGTCCGATCTCTCTCTCCTGATGGAACAGTCAGATCTCTCTCTCCTGATGGAACAGTCAGATCTCTCTCTCCTGATGGAACAGTCAGATATCTCTCTCCTGATGGATCAGTCACATCTCTCTCTCCTTATGGAGCAGTCACATCTCTCTCTCTCTCCTGATGGAACAGTCAGATATCTCTCTCTCTCCTGATGGAACAGTCCAATCTCTCTCTCCTGATGGAACAGTCCAATCTCTCTCTCCTGATGGAACAGTCAGATCTCTCTCTCCTGATGGAACAGTCAGATCTCTCTCTCCTGATGGATCAGTCACATCTCTCTCTCCTGATCGAACAGTCAGATCTCTCTCTCCTGATGGAACAGTCAGATCTCTCTCTCCTGATGGAACAGTCAGATATCTCTCTCCTGATGGAACAGTCAGATATCTCTCTCCTGATGGAACAGTCAGATCTCTCTCTCCTGATGGAACAGTCAGATCTCTCTCTCCTGATGGAACAGTCAGATATCTCTCTCTCCTGATGGAACAGTCAGATCTCTCTCTCCTGATGGAACAGTCAGATATATCTCTCTCTCCTGATGGACCAGTCAGATCTCTCTCTCCTGATGGAACAGTCAGATCTCTCTCTCCTGATGGAACAGTCAGATCTCTCTCTCTCTCCTGATGGATCAGTCACATCTCTCTCTCCTGATGGAACAGTCAGATCTCTCTCTCCTGATGGATCAGTCACATCTCTCTCTCTTGATGGAACAGTCAGATCTCTCTCTCCTGATGGAACAGTCAGATCTCTCTCTCCTGATGGATCAGTCACATCTCTCTCTCTTGATGGAACAGTCAGATCTCTCTCTCCTGATGGATCAGTCACATCTCTCTCTCCTGATGGAACAGTCAGATATCTCTCTCCTGATGGAACAGTCAGATCTCTCTCTCCTGATGGAACAGTCAGATCTCTCTCCTGATGGATCAGTCACATCTCTCTCTCCTGATGGAACAGTCAGATATCTCTCTCCTGATGGAACAGTCAGATCTCTCTCTCCTGATGGAACAGTCACATCTCTCTCCTGATGGAACAGTCAGATCTCTCTCCTGATGGAACAGCAAGATCTCTCTCTCCTGATGGAACAGTCACTTCTCTCTCTCCTGATGGAACAGTCAGATCTCTTTTTCTGATGGAACAGTCAGATCTCTGTCTCCTGATGGAACAGTCACATCTCTCTCATGATGGAACAGTCAGATCTCTGTCTCCTGATGGAACAGTCAGATCTCTCTCTCCTGATGGAACAGCAAGATCTCTCTCTTCTGATGGAACAGTCAGATATCTCTCTCCTGATGGAACAGTCAGATATCTCTCTCCTGATGGAACAGTCAGATATCTCTCTCCTGATGGAACAGTCAGATCTCTCCTGATGGAACAGTCAGATATCTCTCTCCTGATGGAACAGTAAGATCTCTCTCTCCTGTTGGAACAGTCAGATCTCTCTCTCCTGATGGAACAGTCAGATCTCTCTCTCCTGATGTAACAGTCAGATCTCTCTCTCCTGATGGAACAGTCCGATCTCTCTATACTGATGGAACAGTCAGATCTCTCTCTCTTGATGGAACAGTCAGATCTCTCTCTCCTGTTGGAACAGTCAGATCTCTCTCTCCTGATGGAACAGTCAGATCTCTCTCTCCTGATGTAACAGTCAGATCTCTCTCTCCTGATGTAACAGTCAGATCTCTCTCTCCTGATGGAACAATCCGATCTCTCTCTCTTGATGGAACAGTCAGATCTCTGTCTCCTGATGGAACAGTCAGATCTCTCTCTCCTGATGGAACAGCAAGATCTCTCTCTCCTGATGGAACAGTCAGATATCTCTCTCCTGATGGAACAGTCAGATATCTCTCTCCTGATGGAACAGTCAGATCTCTCTCTCCTGATGGAACAGTCAGATCTCTCTCTCCTGTTGGAACAGTCAGATCTCTCTCTCCTGATGGAACAGTCAGATCTCTCTCTCCTGATGTAACAGTCAGATCTCTCTCTCCTGATGGAACAGTCCGATCTCTCTATACTGATGGAACAGTCAGATCTCTCTCTCTTGATGGAACAGTCAGATCTCTCTCTCCTGTTGGAACAGTCAGATCTCTCTCTCCTGATGGAACAGTCAGATCTCTCTCTCCTGATGTAACAGTCAGATCTCTCTCTCCTGATGGAACAGTCCGATCTCTCTCTCCTGATGGAACAGTCAGATCTCTCTCTCTTGATGGAACAGTCAGATCTCTCTCTCCTGTTGGAACAGTCAGATCTCTCTCTCCTGTTGGAACAGTCAGATCTCTCTCTCCTGATGGAACAGTCAGATCTCTCTCTCCTGATGGAACAGTCAGATCTCTCTCTCTTGATGGAACAGTCAGATCTCTCTCTCCTGTTGGAACAGTCAGATCTCTCTCTCCTGATGGAACAGTCAGATCTCTCTCTCCTGATGGAACAGTCAGATCTCTCTCTCCTGATGGAACAGTTAGATCTCTTTCTCCTGATGGAACAGTCAGATCTCTCTCTTGATGGAACAGTCAGATCTCTCTCTCCTGATGGAACAGTCAGATCTCTCTCTTGATGGAACAGTCAGATCTCTCTCTCATGATGGAACAGTCAGATCTCTCTTTCCTCCTGCTGCTCTCTCTCAGACGGTCTGCTGTGGGTTTGGGGGAGGCGCTCGATGGACAGTTTGTGGTAGTGGAAAAATAGCAATCAGCCAATGAAGCAGCAGACGTAAGAGACGGACAACCAAGAAACACAAGTGCGTTAATATGATCCAAATCCAAAACCACAAGTTAAAGTAGAAATATGTAAGATTTGTCAAGTTAAGTCATAATTAAAGGGCCAATAAAAAAAATCATGAAAAAATATCTCAAAATGTTTCTAATTTTGCCCCAAGATCAAAGAATATTTGACTTTGTTTTGTATATTTGTAAGTGACCAGTATTGCCTCACACTCACGAGGCAATACTGACACCTGGTGGACACACGCTAACATTACGCTGGATGTGGAAGGCACCGATTCTGTCTCTTCACCCTCGTGAGTTTAGAACCTTTGAATTAAATATATTGTTATATCAATCAATCAATCTTTGTTTATAAAGCACAACAGCCTAGGTTTATCAAAGTGCTGTACAGACAAGTGAAAAACGGCAACAATAAAAACACACACAAAATAACAAATAAAACATAAATACACATATAAAAACAAAAACTTGTTTTTCTCTTTCTAGTATTAAAAGCCAAGGAAAAATGCTGCGTCTTAAGATATTGTAATGGGCAAAGGTAAAGGGTTCTATCTCTGGTCCTCTCTCACAGAGAAGTCTTGTCTCCTCTGGTCCTCACCTGGTCCTCTCACAGAGAAGGCTTGTTTCCCCTGGTCCTCACCTGGTCCTATCAGAGAAAATGCCCTGTCTCCTCTGGTCCTCACCTGGTCCTATCAGAGAAAAGGCCCCGTCTCCCATTATATGACATGTATGTTTGTATGTAACTGACCAGAGATGCAATGATAAATAACACATAAGAGCCTTTGGCAGATGAACGATGTCATAAATGTCGTTGGATGTCGAGTGTCCTGGATCATCACCAAAACAACACTTCATACTTGCTTAACCAGGACTAAACCAGGACTAAACCAGGACTGAACCAGGACTGACATTGGGGAACACAGTGCCTGTGAACATTTGCCTCCAGTCTGAGTTCTCATTCTCCTGTGACTGTAAACAAGTGTTGCTAACATGACTGTAAACAAGTGCTGCTAACGTGACTGTAAACAAGTGCTGCTAACGTGACTGTAAACAAGTGCTGTTAACGTGACTGTAAACAAGTGCTGTTAACGTGACTGTAAACAAGTGCTGCTAACGTGACTGTAAACAAGTGCTGTTAACGTGACTGTAAACAAGTGCTGCTAACATGACTGTAAACAAGTGCTGCTAACGTGACTGTAAACAAGTGCTGTTAACGTGACTGTAAACAAGTGCTGTTAACGTGACTGTAAACAAGTGCTGTTAACGTGACTGTAAACAAGTGCTGTTAACGTGACTGTAAACAAGTGCTGCTAACGTGACTGTAAACAAGTGCTGTTAACGTGACTGTAAACAAGTGCTGTTAACGTGACTGTAAACAAGTGCTGTTAACGTGACTGTAAACAAGTGCTGTTAACGTGACTGTAAACAAGTGCTGCTAACGTGACTGTAAACAAGTGCTGCTAACATGACTGTAAACAAGTGCTGTTAACGTGACTGTAAACAAGTGCTGTTAACGTGACTGTAAACAAGTGCTGTTAACGTGACTGTAAACAAGTGCTGTTAACGTGACTGTAAACAAGTGCTGCTAACGTGACTGTAAACAAGTGCTGCTAATGTGACTGTAAACAAGTGCTGCTAACGTGACTGTAAACAAGTGCTGTTAACGTGACTGTAAACAAGTGCTGCTAACGTGACTGATAACAAGTGCTGCTAATGTGACTGTAAACAAGTGCTGCTAACATGACTGTAAACAAGTGCTGCTAATGTGACTCTAAATAAGTGCTGTTAAGGAGACTGTAAACAAGTGCTGCTAATGTGACTCTAAATAAGTGCTGTTAAGGAGACTGTAAACAAGTGCTGCTAATGTGACTCTAAATAAGTGCTATAAGTGCTGTTAAAGAGCGACTAAACACCAAATCAACTTTTTTTTAACTCATAAACTGCATAAGTATGTTTATTGTAGTGCTGTCTACATATCCTGGTCATTTTTTTGACATTTTAGTTCAAATTAGATAAAATATCACTTTTGAGCCAAAAAACACTGTGTGGCGCCCTCTCAACCTTTTTGGTGGTACTACATTTGAATTTGGTCCTGGCCTCTCCATTGACTCTGAAGTTCTCTATGACATCAGTTGTTTTGTGTGACGTCAGTCTGTCAGAGCCAGTGATGTGAACCCATTCAACTCTCACACACGCCCCAGCTGCAGTTTGGAGTATTCTGGCGCCATCTAGTGGATTAAAATTAAATTACATGAGTCATTCTGAGAGTATTGAGTGTGATTAGGTTCAGGTGTGTAGCTTTACAATGATCTTAGTGTGTAAACAAGGGTGGAATAAGACTTTCTGGTCTGTAAACTATTGCTTTAAGCAGCAATGACAACTGTCTGTTTTTTGTGTGTGACAAGTGAGCTGTCAATCACAGCCCAGACCACACCCAACTCCAAGCCCCCCTTCTTGTCCCTTGGTCCTCCAGGCAACGCCCTTTTTAGAGAACATTTTCAAATCTTCATGTGGGCGGAGTAAGGCTGGGCACAGGTGTTTAGTCGCTCTTTAAGGAGACTGTAAACAAGCGCTGCTAACGTGACTGCAAACAAGTGCCGCTAACAGCATGAGGCTAACAGCTGTTTGAACCAATGGAGATCAACTGTTGTGTACATTGCGATATTGTGCAGGTTTTTCGTCCATGTTTCTTGTTCTATAAAAATTGTTTTTGCTAAAATGTGCTCTCACTTATGACGTTGTGAACTTTAGCACCTACTACTGCATGACGCCGGTAAAACTAGCTTGTTGTAGAAATAGCTTGTTGTAGAAATGGCTTGTTGTAGATATGGCTTGTTGTAGAAATGGCTTGTTGTAGATATGGCTTGTTGTAGAAATGGCTTGTTGGTTTACAGCGTTTGGAGGAAGCTTCAAAATCTTCAGTTTAACACAAGGATTGCGGGAAAGAAGTCTGAATCTGCCAGAACTTCCGGAGCCGCCATTTTGACTGCTCCCATTCAAAAATCACAAACACAATCTGAGAAACAGCGAAGGCTCTTTAGCAGTAATAAACATGGAATATTTATATTTCAGAAGATAATAGTAACAATTAAACATTAATTGTAGAATGTGTTCTGAGTAAGAGATGGTTTTGATACACAGATATACCTCCCGCTGAGACCAAACGATCCTGGAAGTCTGGCTGCTGTGGTCGACTTTACACCATGTGAACAGTTGGATGGCCCATAACTTTCTTCAACTCAACACCTCCAAATCAGAAGTCCTCCTCATCAACCCGCCGCAATCCATATCCCACATCCAAACCCACCTCGCCCCCCTGTCCTCAAACATCACTCCCTCCGCCCGTAACCTCGGTGTCATTTTCAATTCTCACCTCACCTTCCGCTCCCACATCAATAAAACCACCCAATCCTGCTTCTTTCACCTCCGCACAATCTCAAAGATTAAAAACATCCTCACTCCTCCCAATCTCCATAAAGTTGTCAACGCCCTCATCTTTTCCCGCCTTGACTACTGCAACTCCCTCCTCTCCGGTCTCGACGCTAAATCCCTCTCCCGCCTCCAACTGGTCCAGAACGCAGCAGCCAGACTTCTCACTGGTTTTAACAGAAGGGAGCACATCACCCCTGTTTTAGCGTCTCTCCACTGGCTCCCTGTGCGTTTTAGAATTGATTTTAAGATTTTACAGTTCACTTTTAAAGCGTCTTTAGGCATCCTCGGGCAGATCTATTCTTGGGTTACATATGACGTCAGGGCAGTGGCGCGAATGACATACGTGGGACGGGACTGGACGTGACGTGACGTACCCTGGCGGTGCAGTTTGCCGTGTATATACAGAGAGATATAGTAGAAGAAGAAGCTGGCAGAAATGCCACCTTTTTGTGCGGTTTACGGTTGTAGCAACCACGCAAATAAAGAGAAAGACAAGAGTTTTTTAGTACTCCCTTAGAATTGAGTGTCCCTCTCCCGATTATGACTGTTACAACAACCGTACACCGCACAGGAAGAGAGCCTTTTGACTCCAAAACAGACAAGATTTACATGGTTTTCAATGGGAGCAAAACTGAGTTGTCCCATCTCTGCTCATTCGCCCCCTACAGGCCAGGTTAATGAAACCCAAGAATTCTAATTATTTTGACTTTGTATTAAGACTGTTTTATTGTTTATTATGCTGACTGTGCAGCGCTTTGTAAACATTGTTTTTTAAAAGTGCTATACAAATAAAGATTATTATTGTTATTATATTTTTGTTTTGATCAAGGAGCAGAGTATGGCATTACTTATTACTACTACTACTACTACGTCATTATTAAAAGCTAAAACTGACATTGTGGTTTTTACTGTTTTCTCACAGAATACAACAACAAAAATGATTGAATATATATCCGAGCTCGATCAGCCGACCGTCCTGGATCTGAGAAAGGCCATCCAAAAGAGCAAAGGAGTCCCTTTAGGTAGATACAGGATTTTATCCACAGCATCTGAAACCATCTGGAACATTCTGTTCTGGACATTTGTTTTGACTTAAGTCGCTCACTGTGTTTCTTTTGCAGATCGAATGAGGCTCTTTTATAAGGGTCGTCCACTGTGCGATGATGCACTGATCTCTGAAGTCTTCTGTCAAGTACAATGGCCAAAGATAGATTTGTACTTGGAAATAGAAGGAGCTGTAGGGGTAAGTGAGCAATCTAACTCTAATTTATAATCCCCCGGGGCCTTCACTTTTAAACAGTGGCTAAATTGGCGTAGGTTGGCAGGGCTCTGTGATTGGCCGAGGGTGAAAGGGGCGGGCTTGGATGGACTGCTGCAGGGAGCCTACCAGACTGAACTTCCACATGCTGCATGCATTGAAATGTTGACGTTGTGGTTTTTTACTGTTTTCTCACAGATGGAGATAAAAATGCCCTCTGGCAAAACTGTAGTTGTAAACTATGATTGCAAACAGTTCCAACAGTCGACTGTCCTGGATCTGAAAAAGTCCATAGAAGACAAGGAAGGAATCCCTACAGGTAGATACAGGATCCAGAGCTGTTTTACCCACAGCACCTGAAACCATCTGGAACATTCTATCCTGGATATTTTTCAAGTCTCTTACCCTGAGAGACGTGAACTAAACAGTGTGTTGCTATGGTAACTAGCAATCACTTTTCACTGGTGAAAAACCAAGCAAAGTTCAGAACTAGAAATAGTCCATGACTAGCATTTTGGAAAAGGGCTTTATCTGCCACCACGCTAGGGGTGGCCACCAAGAAACGGAAAAAGGCTACATTTGAACTTTACGTTCAAATGAGTGGAGCAGTCAAAATGACTGTGCTGGGAGTACTTCTCACTTTTCAAAATGTGTTCCTGAAAATAACATCAGAGAAATAAATGATGCGTAGAAACAGAAAAACTCACAAAGTTATGAAGATCAAAAAGATACATGAGTAATTGCATGTTAAAAAACTGAACCGTCAAATTGACTGCTCTGGGAGTTCTAGTTCTGTCAAGTCTTGGACCAAGTGCAGCTGATGATGCGAGAGTTGATCCAAGTGAAATCGGTTGTATTTTTTCGCCATCTATGAAATAATCAACAAATATTCCAGAATAAATAATCTGCAATAAATGCACGAGTAAAAACGGTACAAATGTGACGTTTATTGAAATTAGAGTCGAACAAACTTTCGCCTCAGACACCAGCTGTGAACATGAATGTTTCCATGAACAGTAATAATATAATAATAACCCTTTTTCTTTTGCAGGTCGAATTAGACTCGTTTATAAGAGTCGTCCTCTGTGCAATGATGCACTGATCTCTGACTTCATCTGTGAAAAGAAACCAATAATAGTTTTGAAATTGAAACTAGAAGGAGATGTAGAAGTAAGTGACCAATCTAATGGGGCATTCAGACCGCCGGCTCTGGAGCACAGTTTCCACGCGCACTGGACGCACATTCTCTAAATTTCAGACACTAGGTGTGTTCAGACCAGAAGTCCTGGCCTGTGGTGGCGCCCGCCGGAAGAAGCGGGCGGACTTTGATGCTAACGAAGTTAAGATAGCGGCTTTTTGTGTAAAGTTCTTCTCCAAGAATGCAGCTCTTTGTGTGCCGCTTATAATCCCCTCGCAGCCTAGATACTGGAGGTGGCATAAGACCTAGGTACTAGTGTTGGCATAAGACCTATGCACTAGTGTTGGCATGAGACCTAGGTACTAGTGTTGGCATTAGACCTATGTACTAGTGTTGGCATGAGACCTAGGTACTAGTGTTGGCATGAGACCTAGGTACTGGTGTTGGCATGAGACCTAGGTACTAGTGTTGGCATTAGACCTATGTACTAGTGTTGGCATGAGACCTAGGTACTGGAGGTGGCATAAGGTGAAGTAGTGATGAGATGTGTGTGCTTGAAGTTTGAGGTGGACATACTCAAAGTTTCTGCTTTTAAACAGTGGCTTAATTGGCGTAGGTTGGCAGGGCTCTGTGATTGGCGGAGGATGAAAGGGGCGGGCTTGGATGGGCTGCTGCAGGGAGCCTACCAGACTGAACTTCCACAGGCTGTATGCATTGAAATGTTGACGTTGTGGTTTTTTACTGTTTTCTCACAGATGGAGATACAAATACCCACTGGCAAAACTGTAGTTGTGAACATTTGGATAATTTAAACTTTTTTAACAAATAAAAAACTGAAAAGTGGGGCGTGCAATATTATTCGGCCCCTTTACTTTCAGTGCAGCAAACTCACTCCAGAAGTTCAGTGAGGATCTTTGAATGATCCAATGTTGTCCTAAATGACTGAAGATGATAAATAGAATGTGTGTAATCAAGTCTCCGTATAAATGCACCTGCTCTTTGATAGTCTCAGGGTTCTGTTTAAAGCGCAGAGAGAACCGGCAGGTCCGAGATACTGTTGTGGAGAAGTTTAAAGCCGGATTTAACAGAACAGAACCCTGAGACTATCAAAGAGCAGGTGCATTTATACGGAGACTTGATTACACACATTCTATTTATCATCTTCAGTCATTTAGGACAACATTGGATCATTCAAAGATCCTCACTGAACTTCTGGACTGAGTTTGCTGCACTGAAAGTAAAGGGGCCGAATAATATTGCACACCCCACTTTTCAGTTTTTTATTTGTTGAAAAAGTTTAAATTATCCAATAAATTTCATTCCACTTCACGATTGTGTCCCACTTGTTGTTGATTCATGACAAAAAATTTAAATGTTATATCTTTATGTTTGAAGCCTGAAATGTGGCAAAATATTGAAAGGTTCAGGGAGGCCGAATACTTTCGCAAGGCACTGTATTTGTGTTTCACGTGTATCATCAGTGTTTTTGGCCTGCAGCCCACTGGCACATTTTCTCTTTGGGCCTAGGAAGCATAAAGTTTGGTCTAGGTAATGCTGATGACATAAGGGTAAAGGTGCACTTTATTAATCCCTGTAGGGCAATTCATCCTCTGCATTTGACCCATCCTGATGCCACTAAGGCTGACCAGGAGCAGTGGTTGCCGTAGTAACAGCGCCCGGGAACCCATCTCCAGATGTTAATGCTTGGCTTGGTCAGGACCCGAGCTGGAGGATTTTTACCGAGTGAGCATGTTTCTAGTGGTAGGGGAAACCAGAGCACCCGGAGGAAACCTACGCAGACACAGGGAGAACATGCAAACTCCACTCAGATAGACCCTGTTCCGACCAGGATTCGAACCCAGGACCTTCTTGGTGGGACGCTGCAGGGAGCTTACCAGACTGAACTTCCACAGGCTGCAAACATTGAAATGTTGACATTGTGTTTTTTTTTTACTGTTTTCTCACAGATGATAATAAAAACGCTCCGTGGCCCACCTATAGTTGTAAACTATGATTGCAAACAGTTCCAACAGTCGACTGTCCTGGATCTGAAAAAGTCCATAGAAGACCAGGAAGGAATCCACACAGGTAGATACAGGATCCAGAGCTGTTTTAACTGAAACCATCTGGAACATTCTATCCTGGATATTTGTTGTGACTCAAGTCTCTCACCGTGAGAGGCGTGAAGTAAACAGTGTGTTGCTACGGTAACTAGCACTCGCTCTTCTCTGGTGTCAAACCAAGCCAAATTGGTTCAAAACCAGTGCAGAATCAGTCCAGGACCAGCATCTGGAAGAAGGGCTTCATTGTAATATAGAAAGATGATTTATGAAAATGATCACATAGACATAAGTTATACATTTGTACTATCTTTGCATCTACGAAAGAATTACAAATCAATAATCCTGATCTATGTCAAAAAATGCATGGGTAAAAAAAGCACAAATGTGATTTTTGTCCAAATAAGAGTCGAACAAATGTAACCTCAGACACCAGCTGTGTTACCATGAAACAACACTAACATTATACAATCCCTGTTTCTTTTGCAGATCAACAGAGATTGATTTATTGTAGGGCTCAACTGGACGATGATGATAAGCTCTCTGAAGTCCTCTCTGAAAATAATCTATCAATAACACTGGTTTTAAGATTACGTGGAGGATTTGAAAAACCCAAAACCACGGGTGACGGAGCTGGACGGAGAGGGAGTATGGACCGTTTGGCTGATTTTGATGGACCTGAACAAACACCTCCTGATGGATCTAACAGTCCTATGTTCAAACTCCTTTTTCATCTTTATTTTCACCAGTGATGTCACATGAACACGTTTCCTACCCTGTGTTTTATAGCAGATCAGTATTTTGGAAGTAAAACATGTATTCTCATTTTCAGCTTATTCTGTACGATTTTAAATAAAATATATTTCATTTATTATTACCTTTGTGGGTTTGTCAAAGAGAAGAACTGCATCCATGTTTCTGTGTAGTGTATATATCATCCATAGACTTACATTTTAATCATCTCTGAACGCCTGAAGTTTCACTGTATTGCCACTGTTGAGACATTTCAATCTGGAAAGACTTGAGACAAAGATTACATAAGAATGTCTTTATTGTCAAGATTGCATGAATAGAGCCTTAAACCCAGCATTGATTGGGAACTAACATATTTATTGCATTTGAAGTGGTCATTAACCTCTTAAACTCCTACATCTCTTTTGGCTCGTGCACAAAAGTTTGTCATACCCAAATGTCTTTGCTTATTTAAAAACACATCTTACATCTCACATGCTTGTGTGATGCATCATTTTAAAGCTAGGCCCTTCTAGTTTATGTAAATATACACTGAAATAATGTATGTCATTCCTATTTCACTCTGCATCCTTTGAAGTTTGGGAAAAAAATTCAATGTATAAATGCCCTAAAAAAGCCTACTTCATTGGAAGAAGAAAATGTTCAACGCCAATTTGTTCATTGTGTTGTTGACAACAACTGTGTAAAGTTTCAGACTTCTAAGTGTAATAGTTTTTATGCAGTTTCTCTTTTTTATCAAGTAGTGCCATTCAAAACCAATTTTGCAAAGTGTGTGCCAAATTGTGTCAAACTGCTTTACTAATATTTCACCATCATAAAAAGCATATTTTTTAGTTTTGGTACTTATAAGTTACAAATCTGTGTGATTTTCTTTTACATTTTTTCAAAATTATTTTTTTAGTAGTGTAAATGCATATAAAATATGCGCAGCAGTACTAACAGCGTCTTTACGCATGCTTTTACTGTAAAAATGAAAAGGGTTCCTACAAGTCCCACCCATCAAAAGAAAGCTCTTTTTATTGGCTACTTAGACACGTCAATCATTCAGAGCTAGCTCATTGCGCTAGCCTGTAATCAACAACAAGGGAAAAACGGACCCGCTGCAAGTGGATGCGGTTCGTCTTTTTCACAAGGGTCCTGCAGACTGAAACCTGCTACTTTCTTTTCATGGAACCTCTGTTTTTGAAGCTAAGGACTCAAGGAACACGTGGATATGATGTTTGTCGGAGCGTTTTTTTTTTGCAACAGAAAAATGCACATTTTTGGATTATTTCTGAAGAATGGATAATACTTTGGGAAATACAAGTGGATATTCTTTTTCACTGAAGACTTACGGAGAGAAAGAGACTAAGCAAGGATGGGGAAAGTCTAATTTGTTGGAGCAGAAGAAGACGAAAGGTAAAAAACTTATGCAAACATGATTTATTTTGTGCCCATATTATGCGGTATATCTTTTTAATGCAAAGGCTGATTTCGTTTACACTTACATATACATATAGCTGAGAAAATAAGCTTTAAAATGGTATATAGCTTGTGGATTATGAAGTTCAAAATGCATCTGCTATTGCCAGCAGAGCTTATTCAATTAGACCCAACAGGAATACTGCATTACTTCAGGAGGGAGTTTAATTGAAGAGGCGAGAGGAGGAGGTGGGTTGCTGCTTGGACCAAGCTGCAGAGAACTGAGAGGCTCTGTTTAAATGCAGCCATGAAGCGATGATGAGCACAGTAAGTGAATCAATCCATCTTTATTTGTAGAACCCGTCCACATCACACAAGGCACAAATAGTCGCATAAAACAAACACCAAAATCACCATTAGAAAAAACAATTAAAATCACACAGGTGATTAAAGTCATTGCAACATTTAAATCACAAGGAGTTAAATAATAAATAACAAAAGTGCATCAAAAATAGAGATAAAATCCTTCAGTTGTCTACAAATAGACCCGTCTTCGACCTGAATTTGAACATTGGAACAGTCATCATGAAAATGTGAGAGAGGCATCTATTCTGACAGATTATAGCTGCATAAATTGGAAACGCTGCCTCCCCATGTGTAGTCCTGACTCGGGCACCAGCAGGAGGCCGGTCCCTGTGCTCCTCAGAGTCCCAGCAGGAGGCCGGTCCCTGTGCTCCTCAGAGTCCGAGTTGGTTCATATGGGACTAACATGTCATTGACATACTTTGGTGCGAGGCCATGGAGAAACTTGTAACAAGCAGAGCTGTTTTAAAGTCTATTCTCTGAGCCACAGGAAGCGAGTGCAGAGACCTGAGGACTGGACTAATGTGATCTGGTTCTTGTCAGAAGCTTTTAATGTACTGCAGTTGCTTTACACTCGTTTGGTGAGTCATCACAGTAGTCTAACCTACTGGAGACTAATGCATGGATAAGAATCTCCAACTCTGCTTTTGACACAATATTTTACATTTTGGCATTGTTTTTTTAGATGGTAAAAAGTTGCTGATATAATATAATGATAATGTGGTTATTGAAATTTAGAGTGCATAATTACCCCTAGATTTCTGACCTTGTTTGAAGGTTTTAGGGAGAGAGACTGGAGGTGACAAATTACGCTCACCCTTTGTTTCTGGGGACCAAAGACAATCATTTCAGTTTTGTCTGCGTTTAGCTGAAGGAAGTTTTGCATCCACTCACTGATCTGTTGGATACAGTGAAGGAGTGAGTCCACTGGTCCATGTTCTCCTGCAGTCAGTGAGACATAGATCTGAGTTTCGTCTGCATAGTTATGATAGGAAACTTTGTTTCTGCGTATTAACTGACCTAACGGCAGCATGTAGAGATTGAACAGAAGAGGTCCCAGGATCGACCCCTGTGGTACTCCACAGGTCAGGGCCATATGATCTGAGACACAGTTTCCAATCTCCACAAAGTACTTCCTGTCTTCAAGGTAAGACGGTGCCAGCGACACCAACCCAGTTCTCCGGTCTTTGTACGTGTCAAACGTGGCACTCGGATCCAACATGACTAAAATGAGACCTTTCCTGCATCAGTGTTCAGTCGGATGTTGTTTGGACCTTCACCAGAGAGGTCTCACGGCTGTGGTGGGGTCTAAAGCCAGACAGGAACATATAAAAAGAGTTATTCGTTGTTAAAAATTCAGTGAGTTGTTGGTAGGCAACTTTTTCTTCCAGATGGCAGATTTGAAAGCATCCAGACTGCTCTCTCTAGGAGGGGTTCATTTTCAGGGCCATTGGAAATTTTCCAGAAGAAAGAGACATGTTTACATGTTTATTTGTGTCATTGAGGGTAACAGACTGCTCTGAACATACTTATTAATAAATACATTCAGACAGCATGTGGAGGAACTCAAACTGGAGATAATCTTTTGGACGGGTTTAACGTCTACAGGTGAAAACAAGCGGTAGGTAGGGGAAAACGGAGCACCCAGAGGAAACTTACGTGGGCAAACACCACAAAGAAAGGCCTGGCGGTGATATCGAACCCAGGACATTCTTGCTGCAAGGAATAAGCGCTAACCTCTGCGCCACTGTGCCGTCTGAATTTACGCTTCATTTGTTGTCTGAATTTGACCCGCCCTGAAACTTCTAGGATGTTGATGCTCTTTGTCAGAACCAGAGCTGGAGGATTATATCTATTGGACATATTTTTAGTGGTAGGGGAAACCGGAGAACAAGGAGGAATCCTACACTGACGCAGGGAGAACATGCAAACTCCACTCAGATATGCCCCATTTAGACCGTGATTCGAACCCAGGACCTACTCTCTGAGAAGGTGGTGTAGGTGGTTTATTTTCAAAGATAAGAACAGTTAAATATATAGTAGTTATAGAGGAGATTTATTGGGCCTTGTGTTAATTAGAAATGACAGTTTGTAAACAGTTAATAACTGTGTGACCACTCCCTCTGTGCTGCACACTCACTGACATCTGACACCACTGCTTCACAGAAATACAGAGAGAATTAGGGATCACCCGCAGGTTTTTCACTTCTAGATCAAAACACCTCCACAACTTTGCTTCTTTTGGACAGTATTGGAGGAAACCATAGGTCGATATTAAAAAGTAGAGGAAACTTCATCGCACAAGCGTGAGAAACCAGGAAGAAGTGATTTGAAGTGATACTGTAAGTTTGAACCAATGCAGATCTACTGTAGTAATACAACCATCGCACTTACCGGTTGGGTCGCTTCTGTCAGTATGCCTCAGGGGAGCTGTGGCTACAGTAGTACAGTAGTTTATCACCACTGTGTATATAAATATATATGTGCTATATAAAATGTATTATTATTATTATTATTATTGCTACTGTGCAGGTTTCTTGTCTTGGTTTTTGTCTTCTAAACACACACTCTGAGAAGCAGCAGAAACTCAAATCCTTAAGCAGTAATGGAGGTAAGTCTAATAGTATACATCCATTTCGTCCATTAGATGGATTTGTTTATTATATCCATCATCAACCCGACGGACCAGTCGTAAGCTAACAGCTGTCAAGTTTTTTAAAAGTTTTTTTTTAATGCGCCATCAACCTACGTCAGTAAAATGACGTATGCGGCCCTTCAACTCGACAAGAAAAGGACTGCTATCACACAGTAGCAGTGTGGTTTGACAGGAGCAGTTACTACTTAACATCATAAACAGCTGAGGCAGCACAACCTGACAAGCGGCACAAACTTAGTCAGGCTCCATGGACTCTCCGAACTCCTCCCAGTCCCGGGTTTTTGCCTCTGCAACAGCCCGGGCCGCGGCACACTTGGCCAGCTGGTACTGGACAGCTGCCTCAGGAGTCCCACAAACCATCATGGCTCGATAGGACTCCTTCTACAGCCTGACGACATCCCTTACTGCCGGTGTCCACCACTGGGTTCAGGAGTTTCTGCTGGGATCAGCACCAGAGACCTTGCTACCACTGCTACGAGCCGTCGCATCAGCGATAGCGGAAGAGAACATGGTCCACTCCAGGGGTCTCCAACCTGTGGCTCGGGAGCTACCAGTAGCTCTTCAGCCCCTTTCAGGTAGCCAAAGGATTTAGAATTTAATACATGATCTTGATTGAATACATTTTGAGCCATTAGATACCGAAGTATAAATATAGAGTTGTGTTATATTTTACATGTGTTCTCCATGTTTTGTTGTAATTCTTTGATAGATTTGTAATACAACTGAAAAAAAGAGTAGCTCTCTGTCTCTTTTTTGTATAATAGTAGCTCTCCGATTGAAAAAGGATACCCCTGGTCCGCCCAGACTCAATTTCCTCCTTCTCCGGGACCTGGGAGAAGCTCTCCTGGAGGTGTGAGCTGAAAGTCCATCTGACAGGGTGTTCAGCGAGATGTTCCCAGCAGACCCTCACTATACACTTGGGTCTGTATTCCCAAGGACTCCAAGAAGGCTGAGTACTCTGAACTGCTGTTTGGCCCGTAGGCCGCTACAACAGTAAGAGACTTGTCCCCCACCCGGAGGCGGAGGGACATGCCCCTCTCATTCACCTGGGAGAATTCCGTGGTGGCTGAGATGGGGGGCAATGAGTATGACCACTCCTGCTCGCCGCCTCTCGCCGCCTGGCCTGGGGTGGGGTCATGGATTTGCCATGGGAGGCCCTACCAGGGGCATAAAGCCCCAGACAACATAGCTCCCAGGATTATCCAAGTACTCAAACCCCCCACCACGCTAAGGTGGCAGTCCACAAGGTGAGATGTCCAGAGTAATCCAGAAGGTTTGTGTTTCAGAAGATAGTTGTCGAATGTGTTTTGAATCAGAGATGGTTTTGATGAGCAGTGATGTCATTCTTAAATCAAAAGTTGACAGTGTGGTTTTTACTGTTTTCCAGAACCATTCCAGGACCATTCCAGAACCATTCCAGAACCATTCCAGAACCATTCCAGAACCAGTCCAGACCAGTTCAGGTAGAACTGCTCACATTTAAAAAACAAAAGATGATTTATGAAAATAACGACATAGAAATATACTACATATAGAAGTAAAGTCACAACATTATGAAGCCCAAAAAGGAACATGAGTAACTTCACTTCCAAAACTCAAAGCCGTCACACTGACTGCTCTGGGAGTTCTGGTTCTGTCACGATCTAGTCCTGGACCGAGTGCAGCTGACGCGCTCGTTGATCCGGGTTCAAATCTAACACTATTCCTGTATCTTTGAAAAAATGGGTTTGAAATACCTTTTGCTTTTGACGAATATATAAAATAAAACAAGCTAAAAAGTACAGAAACAATTGTCACTGTTGTGTTAGCATTTCCAGATGTCCTGCATCTCAACAAACAATATCTTCAGCCAGAAGGAAGAAGCTGGAACATGGGTTTTCATTGATTTCTACGGATCTAATAATCTGCATTAAAAGCATGAGTAAAAATAGCACAAATGTGATGTTTGAGAGTCGAACAAACTTCAACCTCTTAATTGTGCTTTTGAATCGCCCCTCGGTTATAAATAAAGTGATTGATTGAACCTCAGACACCAGCTGTAAACATGAATGTTACCAGGAACAGTATTAATAATTAGGGATGTAAATCGGCGACCGTTTAACCGGTGGTTGACCGTCACAGCGGTCAAAGCTGTCGGTTAAAAAAGAGAAAAAGGGGAGAGGGGAGGTCTCTTAATAACGCTATTTTAAGCCCTATGTGCACGGTGTGACGAGCGGGTCTGTATCTAGCTGTGTGCGCCAATGTATTATAAACTCCGGGACGACTCTCACGCCGCACGAGCCACATATGCACACACGCGCACGCGCACACACACACTCACACTCACACACACACACACACACACACACACACACTCACACTCACACCCACACCCACACTCTCACTCTCACTCTCACGCTCACTCTCACACCCACACCCTCCCACACCCACACCCACACAGTCTTTATTTGAATCAGTATTTTTGAGACCAGAAATGTTCATTTGAATTCTATATTGTCATGGACTTAATTGACCTGTCTTGACATGTTTTGTTTTGATTTGTTGATTTTGTACTGTGTGAAGTAATTACATTGATTAGGATTAGATCTAAAAAGCCACTTCTTTGAATGAGAATAATATTGCCTATCCATAGACTAACCATAGAGAGTAAATAGAGAGTAACTATTGCATAACAAGCTGTGTACAGGAACTGAGACACTGCACCATTGACCAGAAGTGCATCGCAAATGACCTGATGTGCTTCAAGTGAAAAGACTGTATCTGGAGATCCTGATGTGAATCTGGAGAGACCAAAACCATGGCTTGGACCCTACTGATGTCCAAGATGACATCTCTCGAAATATGACCTGACCTGATGACGACTGAGACTCACCCTCAGGGGACCCTGAGGACCTGAGGACCCTGAGGACCCTGAGGACCCTGAGGACCCTGAGGACCCTGAGGATCTGAGAACCTGAGGACCCTGAGGACCTGAGGATCTGAGGACCCTGAGGACCTGAGAGAGAAAACTGGGGAGTGATGTTTATATTTCTAAAATCATACATTGATGAGTGCTAAATGAGACAGATACTCATGATTCTTCTTTTGTTTTTGTTTGTCTCTAGCTTCTGGACATCTGATGATCTATTGGACACAGACATTTGCAGAACAAGAACCAGCCAATGAAAAAACGTCTATTGCCGATGCTATTGCTACAACCAGAACCACAACTGTGACCAAATGCAACACATGTAAAGTATTCAGACATCTGACAGACAAAAACTTTGACTTTTTAGTCTGGGAGACTGAGCAACTGTTAAAATGTTTTAAAATGATAAAGTATGGGTATTGTAGGGTTTTAGTAGATGTTAAAAGTGATAGAAGTCACAAACTAGAAATATGACTTGGCTCAAGCTGCAACCGAGCTTTGGAGTCACAATAGTGTAAAAATAGAAATAGATAAATGCATCAACCATAGATGCTTTCAAAAATAGAGAATATTTCTAGCCAGTGCTAATATCAAACGGTAAAAGGACCATTTCACAAACATTTACTTCAAAAGTAGATAAAGTTAATTACAGTTTTATTAGATACCTTCCAAATTCACTTGTGTTCAAACATCTGTGAATGTTGACAATGCAAAAAGTTCATGAGTGTAGCCTCGATTAATGCCTAGATCAATGAGATAGATTAGAACCAACAGAGATTCAAAAGCATCTTTGAGAAGTTTAAAAAACTGTCGATTTGTCAGCACAGATTAGAGAATCAAACACCATTGTAGAATAACTGACCCAAACCCCAAACCTGCTAAAATAGATTAGCTCTTGTAAGGATAATACTAATTTGATTAAAGATGTACATTCATCCCAAACTGCCTGAGAGGAGGAAGTGACAGCACTTCCTGGTTCAACAAATGTATTTGGAAAACTGACCGCCAAAATAATGTTCATATTAACCATTTGTCTTTCTGTGTTCACAGTTTTATTCCTGAGAATGTAGAATAGACAGAGAGCAAAATCCCACTAACAATATGCCACTGATAATGAGAGTAAACTACAGAGATTTATTAGATTAAAATATATGTTTAAGAATATGGCTCAAAGCACATATGCAAACATATTTGTAAATAGATTAGAATAGTTTTAAACTATAGTGAATAATAAAAGTAAAGTACACAGTCTAAGATTAAAAAGTGAAAATAATAAAGTGAAATAAGTGAAGTGTAAACAATTATCATTAGAATAAAAGTATAGAGTAATAAAAGTGAAATTAGCTTCTAATTTGAGACTCAGCTCGTTTTTGTCTGTGTTTTGACTGAATCTGCGGAGTTCTACTGTGTCCAATAGTGTTTGTTTTTGTTTGTTTTTATTTTTGTTTGTTTTTGTTTTTTGTTTATTTATTTACTTTGTTTTTTTCCCAGGATAGATGATAAAATCCACTGATATTGATTTGATGATTATAAGTTTAATGCATACATTTTCTTTGTTTTTAATAATTTTTTTAAGTTTTTTTTAGATATTGTTTTTTTTTTTCCACTTTATTGATTGATCAAATTGAGTGATCACATGTGATTATGTGATCAAAGGGGTGAGTGTTAGTATTAGATAGCAATATGGCCTATGTGCAGAACTGTACAAGGACTCTGATTATTTTGACTATGATGTGACTGTCTCTGTGTGACACGTACGTCTTTCCATGTGTGACGTAACAATGACTATATAAACTGTGTACTGACTCCATTCTGTCTGAGAGAAAGAAACAAGGGAAACAACTGGAACATGAGAGAAACGTAAATAAACTTCCAGAGTTTGGCGCACTACGATCCGTCTCTGTCTGCTTCATCCCTGACATGTATTTAACCAGGAAAAATTCCATTGAGATTAAGATCCTCTTTTTCAAGGGAGTCCTGGCCAAGAGGCAGCAAAGTTACACATAAACACAACAGACAGATACAACAAACTTGACTGACTGATAGATAAAGTATCTATCTATCTATCTATCTATCTAAAACAGATCCATGATTCCGAACGAAAACATGTATTCTTATTCTCAGCTTCTTCTGTAATAAGCAGAAAATTTGCTTCTACAACTCCGTCCTGTTTGGTCTCCCCAAAAAGCCCTCCATAAACTCCAACTGGTCCAAAACCCAGCCGCCCACATCATTACACACACACACACACATCAACCACATCACCCCTGTCCTCCACTGCTCCCGTCGCTCACCGCATCCAATACAAAATCCTGCTCCTCACATAGAAAGCAGCGAGTGCGTCTGGGGAAGAATGTCTCGGACTCTCGGATTATAAATACAGGAGCCCCACAGGGCTGTGTTCTTTCTCCCCTGCTCTTCTCCCTGTACACCAACCACTGCACCTCCAGCCACGACTCCGTGAAGCTGATCAAGTTCGCGGACGACACCACCCTCATTGGACTCATCTCCAACAACGATGAGTCCGCCTACAGGAGCGAGGTGGACCGGCAGGTGTCCTGGTGCAGTGGTAACAACCTGGAGCTGAACGCCCAGAAGACAGTGGAGATGATTGTGGACTTCAGGAAGAGCACTGTCCCCCCGCCCCCACCCTCCGTGATGGACTCCCCCATCACCTCTGTGGAGTCCTTCCGTTTCCTGGGCACCACCATCACCCAGGACCTCAAGTGGGAGCCGACCATCAGCTCCCTCATCAAGAAGGCCCAGCAGAGGATGTACTTCCTGCGGCAGCTCAGGAAAGCCAAGCTGCCTGCACAGATGTTGGTGCAGTTCTACACGGCCATCATCGAGTCCATCCTCACCTCCTCCATCACCTCCTCCATCACCTCCTCCATCACCTCCTCCAGCACCTCCTCCAGCACCGTGTGGTTCGCTGGAGCCACAGTCAGGGACAAACAGAGACTACAGCGCATTGTGTGCTCTGCAGAGGAAGTGATCGGCCGCAGCCTTCCATCGCTGCAGGACCTGTACGTCGCCCGAGCTCGAGGCCGGGCTGGTCGTATCACAGCCGACCCCTCTCACCCTGCACATGGACTATTCCAACCACTCCCCTCAGGCAGGAGGCTGCGGTCCATCAGGACTAGAACCTCCCGCCACAAGAACAGTTTCTTCCCCTCTGCTGTTGGACTCTTGAACACTTCTTAACCTGTCCCGCCGCCCTTTATAAAGTCACTTTACTGCCCTTTATAAAGTCACTTTACTGCCCTTTATAAAGTCACTTTACTGCCCAGCATACGTCACTTTACTTCACTGTACTGCTGTCACCTTACATTGTGTGCACCATGTGCACTTGTATATTGTAAATAGTAACTGTAACTCTATTTTAAATTAAAATGTATTCTTTAGAAGTGTTTTTAATTCTTATTTTTATTATCTCTTTCTGACTGTTGCACTGAGCCAAAGCAATTTCCAAGTCTGTGACCTCCTGTTACTTACGTGGCAATAAAAATGATTCTGATTCTGACAAAGCCATATACGACCTCGCTCCTCCATAACCCGACTGACCTCCTCCAGATCTCCACACCTGCCAGCTCCCGCCGCTCCTCCTCCTCTCTCCTCCTGGTCCCTCCTCCATGGTAGAGCCTTCATTCGCTCTGGAACCCTCTGCCCCCTGACCTCCGTAACACTCGTAACCGACTCACTCACACTCTTCAAATCCACCTCAAAACTCATCTGTTTAGACCCAAGCCTACTCAATGACACCATAACCACACTCTATTTTAATTTGTTTTTTACTGTTTTTAAAATGCACTTTTTTACTTGTATGTAAAGCAACCTTGAGTGTCAAGAAAGACGCCTGAGAAATAAAATGTATTATTAATATTATTCGTTGAAAATAAAAGCTTGTTTTGGGTTCGACTCCACCTCCAGGCCTTTCTGTGTGGAGTACCTGTGACCACGCCCTCTGTGCTGTGACACTCACTGAACTCTGACACCACTGCTTCACAGAAACACAGAGAGGCAAAGGGCATGATTTTCACTTCTGGATCAAAGCGACTCAACAACTTTGCTTCTTCTGGACAGCGAGAGACAGTATTGGAGCAATGTAAAGATTGATATTAAAAAGAAAGAGCAAACTATTCTCCGCACCAGCGTGAGAAACCAGAAAGAAGGAATTTGAAGTTATAAGGTAAGTCTACAAATGGGTTCAATTGTCTGAGTAGAGTAGAGTAGAGTAGCACATAGTAGAGTAGAGTAGCACAGAGTAGAGTAGAGTAGCACAGAGTAGAGTAGAGTAGCACAGAGTAGAGTAGAGTAGCACAGAGTAGAGTAGAGTAGTACAGAGTAGATTAGAGTAGCGTAGAGTACAAAGTAGAGTAGACGAGTACAGAGTACACTGTAAAAACGACAACTCAAAATTGTTCACTATACTAAGATTTTTGCATTCACTGACAATAAAATTGCCAGTTGGAACTGGAACTGTCTGTTGTGAGCCACTTGAACTCACTTTCAGTTCATCTTATTTGATGTATTAAGTTGATTTTACTTTGAAGTTGCAGTTGACATGTTAACTGATAGGATTGGACTTCAGCCTCTGCCGTCTTCTACCAGAACGGAACAACACCTCTGGGCAAATACTATTGGAGCAGATGTGTCTCCTGCTGATGTCGCTGTGCAGAGTAGGATAACAGAACACAATACAAAGTAACGTTACAGAACTTTTTACCAACGCCGTACATTACTGTGTTTTGGCAAAAGGCAACACACCACAGTATTTACATGACTGTTCTTTCTCCCAGTATTGTATTGTATCAGAAACTAAGATTTGATAGAAAAAAACAGTTATTTTTGTTCTAATCAATTTCATTCATCATTTTTTGTTTCCTTTTGTGTCCCAGAAAAGACAAGATCCTGCACTCGCAGAGCACATACCCCGCCAAGACAATACAACCCATCTACAAAACAAATTTCACATAAAGAAGTCCACACACACACTCACAGGCAATTACAATACCCCTGTGGGCTGGATCATAAAATCACCTGGAGAATCAGCAGCGACAGAAATGGAGGTAAGATTTATTCATGCTGTGTGTAAGTCTGGTAGATTCTTACAAAGAGCCTTAAACATGATCTTTAACATTTCTTGTTTTATTTCGATGACTAATTTGGAGCAATATTTTTGTTTGCTTAAAATGAGTTTGAAAACAGACAAAAGTTGGTAGGTTTTTGACGGAGAAACTCGTGGCAGGAGCCCTGGTGTGTAATGAAATAATAATAATAATAATAATTAGTAAAAAAAAAAAATCTGTGTATATAGCACTTTTTGGACACTCATAGTGTCTTCACATATCATTATTCATTCATACACAGTGGCGAGAAACTACTACTGCAGCCACAACTGCCCTGGGGCACACTGACAGAAGCGAGGCAAGCAGTCTGTGCCACTGGCCCCTCCCACCACCACCAACCATTCACACACACACACCAGACTCATTCTAGGCAATGGGCGTGAAGTGTCTTGCCTAAGGACACAACAACTGTCTGGCACTTTACAGCCGGAGCCCCCCCACTGTGGCACCTGCTGTTCCCAGAGGTCTCCCATCACAGTACTAACCAGGCCCTGCCCTGCACAGCTTCAGGGGTCAGACTGGATCTAGCTTTTTGCATGCAAGTAGGGCCACAAATAGGCAAAGTAGGGTTAAGTGTCTTGCCCAAGGACACAACGGCAGCAGACATTAATGGGAGTCGGTGGAGAAAATCTTATGGAGGACTCGAACCCACGACCTTCAGTCTCCAGAGGGTACCCCAAACCTAACCCTTATTATTAGTCCTGTCACTGAGGATTTTTCTTTTCAATGTACAGTAAGTCAATTTCAATGTAAGACTTTGTCCATGAGCACTTTCCTATAGCGCTTCATTGAGTTAGCATTGTCCATCTATATACAGACTAAACAAGACAACTTTCTGCTCGTAGACTTTCAATGAGGATTCAATATTTTCAAATTTGTCAATTGCAGTAAAACCACATTGGAATACTTTAAATCTTGAATGTTTTCCCACAGAAAGAAGAAGAAGAAATCAAGATCATGATTAAAACATATAAGGGAAAGGTTGCCTTAAGTTTCGATTCACAAAAGTTCCAACGAACGACGGTGCTGGATCTGAAGAAGACTCTGGGAGAAATGGAAGAAGCCCCTCCGCCACAATGCACTTTGTACTGTAAGTAGCAGCATCAAGCGGCCACCTGCTTTTAATATACCGCTGACTTCGAAAAGCCGGGTCTCTTTACCGCGGTCGGAGAACAGTGAGGGCGAGCCGCAGGAAATGCCCTCCACCTCTGCCAAGGGGGGAGCCCAGCAAGCCCATCACTTGCGTCACTATGCGAGTAAAAATACTTAAGGCTCCTTTTTGGGCTGGCGAGTGCAGCTCGGTAGTGGCGCGAGTCTCTATAAAGCGTCAGGCCTAGTGTATAGTCGCGCGGCGCGGAGCTTAGGGAGATGACGTGACGTCACTTGCGCAACGCGTGGATCACCGCAAGGCCCTTACGTAGCCTGCCGCGCACCCTCAAAAATGTCTAACTACGCAGCCGGAGCCGCAAGGAAGCTCCGCTGTGATTGGTCTGTGTGTGAATACATTCTGGGAAGCATGGAGCGGCTGCAGGAGCACGGACGAGGCACTTTGGAGCAGACTGCTTTGTGCTTCGAAGGAAACGTAGTTTGGGCTCATGGCAGAGACTGATATACAGGAGACTGTGGACTAGAGTTCTGTTGCATATCTTACATATATATAACTTATAAACTGTACAGTCGTTTGTTTTGCAATGTTCCTGTCTTGTTTGAATTGTAGCTGCGTCTGTTGCATTCCTCCTGCACTTGTACATACACTGCTCACAAAAACTTAGGGCACACTCAAAAAACACATCCTAGATGTCAATCAATTCGATTTTTTTGATGAAAATCTTTAGTCATAGTGGTCTGAATCCAAAATGATAGTCAAAATCAAAGTGACAAATGAGGTAACTGGTGGATCCAAATTCTGTAGAAATTCCTCAAAATGAGTCTGTATCATCCTCAGTAGTGTGTGTGGCCACCACGTGCCTGAATGCACTCCCTACAACGCCTGGGCATGCTCCTGATGAGACCACGGAGGTCCTCCTGAGGGATCTCCTCCCAGACCTGGATTACAGCATCAGTCTGGTCCTGGACAGTCTGTGGTGTGACGTAGCGTTGATGGATGGACCGAGACATGATGTCCCAGATGTGCTCTATTGGATTTAAGTCTGGGGATCGGGCAGGCCAGTCCAAAACATCAATACCTTCATCATGCAGGAACTGCTTACCCACGCTTGTCACATGTGGCCTGACATTATCATGTATCAGAAGGAACCCAGGGCCCACAGCACCAGCATATGGTCTTTCAATCCCGGTACCCAATGCCAGTCAGGGAACCTCTGGTTAGCCCATGGAGGGCTGTGCGGCCCTCCAATGAAATGCCTCCCTAGACCATCACTGACCCGCCACCAAACCGGTCCTGCTGGAGGATGTTGCAAGCAGCAGAACATTCTCCAGGGCGTCTCCAGACTCTGTCACGTCTGTCACACGTGCTCAGGGTGATCCTGCTCTCATCCGTGAAGAGCACAGGGCACCATTGGACAATCTGCAAATCGCTTTGTTCTCGGGCAAATGCCAATCGGGCTGCACGGTGTTGGGCAGTAAGCACCGGCCCAACTTGTGAACGTCGGGCCCTCATACCACCCTCATGGAGTCGGTTAGGGTTAGGGTTAGTCTGACCGTTTGATTACCAACATGCACATTTGTGGCCCTCCGGAGGTCATTTTGTAGAGCTCGGGCAGTGCTTCTGCTGTTTCTTTGTGCACAAATGAGCAGATAGCGGTCCTGCTACTGGGTTGCTGACCTCGGTTGGCCCCCCCAGGTCTCCTGGTGTACTGGCCTGTGTCCTGGTATCTCCTCCATGCTCTGGACACTGCGCTGGGAGACACAGCAAACCTTCTTTCCACAGCACAAATGGACGTGCCATTTTGGATGAGCATCACTCCCTGAGCACCGTATGTGGGTTGTAGATGCCTTCTCATGATACCTCTAGTGGTGAGAACACTGGACAAATGCAAAAGTGTTCCAAAAATGTGGTACAAAGGATTAAGACAGGGAAATGGTAATGGCAAAATAATTTAATAATGACTATGTTTCCAACAATAACTGTGTCTTTATTCACAGCATCACAGTTAAATGAGTTGAAACGATGAGTTTAGAACTCTCACAAAAACCTACAGTATAAACACATGTAATGATCTCAAACAGCTTGGTTCACTAATGTTGTTCTGAAGAGGAGAAAGTAGCGTAAATGGGACCGTTTTTGCAACTCCTGTGAGATCGCCCTCCTGTGGTTGATTGTGGGATTACAAGATTGTCTTAAAAACTCCGTAAGGGGAACGCGCGAGTGTACCACCAACTGTGGTTACGTAGGTCCAACGTAACCGCAACCGTAAGCAGCGCTGCGCAAGTGTACACAGACGTGCCCATTTCATGCGACGGGAAGGGCTGTTGAGGTGGGGGGTCACGGGGGAGCAGCGCATTCATCATGTGGGTCGCGGTGCAAAAACTTTGGGAACCCCTGCTTTAATACATTGTTTTTTGCACACAGATGATCTCGTGTACAAGGGCCATGTTCTTCAGGACCATCAGCTGCTCTCTGAGGTCATACTGGAGAGGAACACAGTCATACACATGATTGAAATTCTGGAATTACACAGTGGAGGAACCAAGGAGGAGAGTCTGGGCCAGAGGGACGGACAGAACATGAGTATGGAGTGTTTGGCTGTGTTTGATCAACCCCAGAGTCGATCTGACTGCCACATACTGTGATCAACCCCAGAGTCGATCTGACTGCCACATACTGTGATCAACCCCAGAGTCGATCTGACTGCCACATACTGTGATCAACCCCAGAGTCGATCTGACTGCCACTACTGTGATCAACCCCAGAGTCGATCTGACTGCCACATACTGTGATCAACCCCAGAGTCGATCTGACTGCCACATACTGGGATCAACCCCAGAGTCGATCTGACTGCCACATACTGTGATCAACCCCAGAGTCGATCTGACTGCCACATACTGTGATCAACACAGAGTCGATCTGACTGCCACATACTGTGATCAACCCCAGAGTCGATCTGACTGCCACATACTGTGATCAACACAGAGTCGATCTGACTGCCACATACTGTGATCAACACAGAGTCGATCTGACTGCCACATACTGTGATCAGACAAACACAGAGCATTTACTGTATTTGAACTGTTTTGGTTGCTACTCTACTCTACCTTATTTTACTCTACTCTAATCTACTCTACCGTAATCTTCTCTAGTCTACTCTACTTTACTCTACTCTACATTATTCTACTCTACCATATTCTACTCTACTCAGCTGTTGACAGCTGTACATGTTTGCAGCACGAGGCTCAGGGACAAAGTGACAGTGGACACTTCTAAATTACTACTTAAAATAATAAAGATGATCTGTCAATAGAACAAGAAAATATGAATTGTCAAGATTTCTGAAAATAATACTGGCCCCAAATGACTTGATTCTAGAATAAAAACATACGTATCAAAAATCATTTACTTATTTATTAAACCATTTTGAGAAATGTTTTCTTAAAATAAAGCAAAACAAACTTATTTTATCTAAACAGGAAAATTTGTCTGGAAAAAAGAAAAATATTTTTACATACATAGCAGTGTGTAAAAATGTGCCCAAAGTGGTACTGCAGCCTCTCCCACTCTCCCTGACTCAGGTTGCCAGATATGCAGACGAATCCAGCTGGGACCATAACAGCTGAATAGACAAGAGTTTAGTCAACAACAAATCTATAACCAACACCTTTATTTTTGTATTCATTACTAAAATGCTATCCATGTCCATGTAGTGCATTGGGATAAATGTCCTTTTGAAGAAAAAGTAGCGCAGATTTGTGCTGGCGTGACATTATATTTTAGATCGAGTTTTGATGAAACAAGGAAGAGATGTGTTTCGGGTTCTCAGATTGTGACCAATCACAGCGGACCACTGGCCCCCACTTTCGTGAGAAATCTACAGGTCCGTTAGCATCGATGGCTGAGTTAGCACAACATCAGTTAAAGAAGTATTGGGAAAGAGCAGGTTTTATTAATGCTTTCAATGATGACAGATTGCGGCCCTTTAATGACGACAGATTAGGGCCTATTGCTGGCCCCCAAGGTTACAAGCAGGACAAAGTTTCGACGGGTGTGATTATTTTTTATGGACATAACACCATATTCATGTTCACCGTGAAAACTGTACAGAGAAACACAGTACATATCAAATAAGTAGCATGTAGGTACAAAATACATAAACTAAATGATATCTCCCTAACACCTACAAACACATAAAACATTTACCTCGCTCCGCTTATCGAGGGCTGCAAGTTGTTAGAAACATTTTCTCTTTGAGCCACAGAGCTGCGTGGCTGTGGCCATTGTGCATTTGGAACTGAAAACAAAAACTTCTCCTTCGCTACTCGCGGCTGTATTCAGTTTGCAAGAGTGCCATCTAGTGGACGCTTTGGCAATTACACTCCCACCAAATCATGTATATTAACTTTATAATATATGTGATTTAAATTATTTACCAATGCTTGACAGAAAAAACAAAAACAAAACTCTTTTAGCATTACATTTAGCGTAAGCTTGGAACCAAACAATACATTTCTTACTCTTAATTACTTTCAACAAGAACTACTAACTTTTGCACAGGCCGTTCAATAATGTGAGGCTTCTGTGGTGTGACTTGTTTCTTAGACAGATCCCTAATGCCTGTTTGGATCTTCACTCTGCGCACTAGTCCATCATCTTCTTTGAGAGCTTCTACAACTCGTCCGAGTTGCCACTGATTCCTTTGAAGCATTTCCTCTTTGATAATAACAATGTCATTGACTTGAAGGTTACGACGTGGTACATGCCATTTTTGTCTTGTGGTGATGTTCAGAAGGTATTCCTTTTTCCACCTACTCCAGAACTGCTCAGTGAGATATTGCACTCTACGCCACCGTTTTCTTGCATACAAGTCCTCCTTTATGAACTTCCCTGGTGGAGGTAAAGCAACTTTGGATTTCATTAGTATGAGGTGGTTTGGAGTGAGTGGTTCAGGTGACTTTGGGTCATTTATTGCATCAACACTCAGTGGTCGTCCATTTATTATTGACATTGCCTCATAGAAAAGTGTCCTAAGAGAAGAATCATCCAATCTTCCTGGGCACTGAGAGATGGAAGCATTGAGAACATTTCGGATTGTTCGGATCTGGCGCTCCCAAACGCCTCCTGCGTGACTAGAAGATGGAGCATTAAACACAAACTCACATTGTTTTTCAGCCAAAAACGCTTCTAGGGCATTAATGTCACATTGCTTTAGTGTCTCTTTGAGTTCATTTTTTGCCCCCACAAAGTTTGTGCCTTGGTCACAGTACAACCTGCAAACAGCTCCTCTTAGACTGATAAAACATCTCAATGCGTTAATGAATGTGTCTGTGGATAGATCTTCAACCATTTCTATGTGAACTGCGCGGGATGAGAGGCAAGTGAACAGCAGTCCATACCTTTTGTGCTCTTTGCGGCCTTGCTTTGTGACAAACGGGCCGAAGCAGTCCATACCGCTGTACGTAAATGGTTCTGAGATCTCAACTCGTTCCTTTGGTAGTTCGGACATTCGTTGTTCTTCTGTTGGGCGTCTTAACTTGCGACACTGCACGCATTTGTTTATGTGCTTTGCGACCTCCTTACTTCCACCAATCACCCAAAATCCATTCGCTCTCAGCTCCATTAATGTTTGGCTTCTGCCCTGGTGACAAATCTCAGAGTGAAAGTGTGACATTATCAACTTTGTTATGTGATGGCCTTTTGGAAGAATGATGGGATGTTTCAGTCCTTGACTCAGTGTGGATTTCTTTAATCTGCCTCCAACACGAAGAAGTCCATTGTCTGATATAGGGTCTAATCTGAAGAGGGGACTTGTACTGGGAAGGTTTTCTCCCACCTTCAGCCTTTCAATCTCTTGGGGAAAAGCCTTTTGCTGCACAAGGCCGACAATGAGGCCAGCAGCTTCCTTTCTTTCCTCTACAGTTACAAAGTTGGGTTGCTGATTTTTGTTTGATTTGAGTCGCTTTAACCTAGCAATCACTTTGAGAAGCATTGACCAGCTCGAGAATCTTGTGAGACGGCTCAGAATGTCACTTTCTTTGTTTACTTGAGTTGCAAGCACTTTGACTGTTTTTATTTCTGGATCACCAACTAACAGTTCGAGTGTCGTGTTTGATGGATATGGGATATCTGGCTCCCACAGGAACTTTGGGCCTGATAACCAGTTAGTTGAAGTGATGTCTGCTGCACTGAGCCCTCTGGAGGCATGATCAGCGGGATTTTGTTCTGTGCTGACATAATGCCACTGTTTAGGATCTGTTGTTTGTCGTATAAACTGAACACGGTTTGAGACAAACACATGGAACCTACGCGCCTCATTATTAATGTAAGCGAGTACCACTTGAGAATCAGTCCAGAAGTGCTCTTCATTGATCTGCATTTCGAGCTCTGATTTAAGCATTACACTTAGTTTGGCTGAAGTGACTGCAGCTGAAAGCTCGAGTCGCGGTATACTTGTGACTTTTGTGGGTGCGACCCTTGCTTTAGCTATCACTAGGCTGCAATGAACTTGGTCTTTGTCGTTTTTGTATCTTAAATACGAGCATGCCCCATACCCTACATTGCTCGCATCACTAAAGTGATGTAATTCTACTGTTACAATGTTGTCAAAATCAGGAGGGTGGTAACATCGGGGGACAGAGACCATCTTTAAACTTTGCAAACCACTTTTCCATTCCTCCCACCGTGTGCACAAGTTCTCCGGAATGGGGTCATCCCATTCAATACCCCTGCGGCATAATTCTTGGAGGATGGTTTTTCCACTCAGAGAGAAAGGAGCTACAAACCCAAGTGGATCAAACAGGGATGAGATAACTGACAGTACACTACGACGGGTAGGAGGCTGCTCCTTTGTGCTGGTATTAAAGCTGAAAGTGTCATTTGTGATAGTCCACTGTATACCAAGCACGTGGTCTGAGTGTGTGTCAGGTTTGAGATTGAGCGGTTTGGCAGTGTCTGCTTTATCTGAGGACTCGAGATGTGAAAGAGCATCTGCATGGCTTGAATTGAACTTGTGCAGACGCAAGCCTGCCAGTTTGCACAGTTCTTGGGACTCAGCTATGAGGTCTCTGGCCTCTCTGACTGATGGGACGCTCATCAACCCGTCGTCAACATAAAAGCAATTTTCAACAAAGGCTGAGGCTTTGGGGTAGTCAGATCTGTGTTGCCGTGCAAGATACTTCAGGCCGAAATTAGCGCATCCAGGTGAGGAGCCAGCACCAAATAGGTGGACAGTCATTCTGTATTCTTTGGGCTCTGTGTCCAGCTCTCCATTTTCCCACCAGAGGAATCTCAAGTAGTTGCGCATCTCTGAAGTAACAAAAAACTGGTGAAACATTTTCTGTATATCACAAATGATTGCCACCAATTCCCTTCTAAAGCGACACAAAACTCCCACTAAAGAATTTGTCATATCAGGGCCGGTGAGGAGTGTGTCATTTAAGCTGATGCCTAGATACTTTGCAGAAGCATCAAAGACCACTCTCAACTTTCTAGGTTTTTTCGGGTGGTACACCCCGTGGTGTGGGATGTACCACACATTTTCACTCTCAGACACAAGGGGAGCTAGTTCTGCATCACCATTCTTTATGGTGTCATTCATGAAGGCTGTGTAATGTTCATGGTACTGTTTGTCAGCCTTTAACCTTTTCTTTAGATGCTGCAGTCTCACAGTGGCTAGCTTCTTGTTGTTTGGGAGGGATGGTGGATGGTCATCTTTGAAAGGAAGTGGCATTTCATAGTGTCCATCAGGCCTTTGCACAATTGTGTTGCTCAAAAGTTGTATGAAACGAATGTCATCTTGAGATACATATTTGTCTTCATAGTTTCTTTCATTAAAGTCTGATTCCAAAACTTTAAGCACATATGTAGCTAATGGCGTGTGCATTTCTTTTACTGTTACACGATGCACAAAGCTTTGGTTGTTGTGTCTGTCCAAGTGGGGATTTGCTGACCCAATAATACTCCAACCTAATATTGTTCTTTGAGCAAAAGGCTCATTTACTTGACCTGTAACAACTTCTAGGGGAGCTAAGGCTGATGGGCAGTCATAACCAATTAACAATCCCACATCACAATCTTGTAATGGTTTCATTTTGTTAACCAAACCTTTTAAATGTGGCCACTGAAGTGCAGTTTCTCTGGTGGGAACATGTGACTTGTCAACTGGGATAAAATCCCTTGAGTAAGCTTGATCAATTTGTACATGGGTATCTGAGTTAAAACCACGCACCTTTAAGTTACAAGCAAGCTTACTTGCTACAACAGTGTCAACAGAGGTCATAGTACTTAGCTTTAACTGCACTGGTCTGGATTCCACTTCAAGCTCATTGGCTAACTCACCTAGAATAAAGGACGAGTCGCTCTGGGTATCAAGTAAGGCATAAGTAAGTATTTCTTTATGAGGCTGTGAGGCAGCTGACACAAAGACTGGTACTATGCTGGATGTGGCAGACGTTTTCCTTGTCAAAACATGAGACATGGCCTTGTGTTCTTCCTTGTTAGTACTTTCTTCTGAGTTCTTAGTTTCCTTTGGTTTTGGTTCCATTAACCTTTCTGTATGCAGACATGTTGGATGGCGTCGACCACACTTACCACAAGAGTGGCGCACTTTGCATTCTTTGGTGACATGGCCCTTTCTGAGACATCCGAAGCAAAGATGATTTTCTCGAATGAATGTTGTCTTTTCATCACTTGCCTTTGCTGCAAAGTTGGGACACTTAACTATGCCGTGGGACTCGTCACTGCAAAACAAACATGGTGGTTTAGGCTTTGTCGTTACTGGAGGTGCATTGTATTTGACTTGGGCAGTCGTGTTGAGTGCTTTAGCTCGCTTTATTATTCTCTCTTCTGAAGCTTTTTCATTCATTAAGAATGGGGAGGCAATGGGATTGCATGCAACTTTAGCTTCTTTTTGCAAAAAGTTTGTGAAATGAGTAAAGCTGGGATATTCTTGACTTTTTTCCAATTCGTCTACTACAATGCGACTCCATCTTTTCACAATCCAGTCGGGTAGTTTCTTTAGAAGCTTGTGGTTTTCCTCGCAATCATTAAGAATATCTAGACCTTTGACTTGGGGAATGGCTTCAGCACAACTCTGTAGGAAATCTGCAAACTCTCTAAGTGCTAGAGGCTCATTCGCATTTATTTTGGGCCATTTCATTAACTTTGCTCGGAAGGCTCTTTGAACTATGAATGGGCTACCATACCTTTCTTCTAGTACATCCCAAATACCCTGATATGCCTGATCAGAGTTACGAAAGAAATACCCCTCTACCGCCTTCTTTGCTTCACCTGCAAGATACGTTTTCAGATACAACATTTTCTCACACACAGGTAATGGTTTGTTGCCTATTAGTACCATAAAGGATATTTTCCAGTCCATAAACTTTAGGGGATCACCACTAAAAATGGTGGGTTCAGGTACAGGCAGGCGGTTCAGAGTGAGGGAGCTTGCAAGTGTTTGAGCCAAACTGAGCTCTTGTTGGCCTGAGAGAGTGCTGAAAGGCTGAAATGGTGGTGCCTGGAGGTTAAGAGAGGGCTGATTTGCAGTGTTATCCTTTATTGGGCTATCTGAGTTGTGGCTTAACACATCAATGTATTGTGACCCATCAATAGCGTTGTAAGCTTTTACTTTAGCTGCTGCCACCTTTACCTCACTGTCTGCCCTCAGCTGTTGTAGTTTCATTTTTTCCTCCTCTACCTTTGCTTGCATTTCCATTTCTTGCCTTTTGAGTGCAGAATTAGCTTGAAATTCTCTCATTTTCCAATCACTCTCTAGTTTTGTTAGTTTAGCTTCTTGTGCAAGTATTTCCCTTGTTACATTAGCTTGCTCAATTTTAGCAGCAAGTTCAGCTTCAGCCACTGCACTGGTAGCGTTTGACTTAGCATTTGATTTAGCTTCTGAAACATCAGTGGCGGTTTCCGTTTTTGTTTCTCCAAATATTGAGCCATATTGTTGTTTGTTCAGTATTATCCTGACTCTTTCTTTCTCCAGCCGGTCATTGAAAGATTCTTCAACAGTTTCGAGTCGTTTCTGAATGAGCTCACAAATATCAGTTGAGATTACAGTGCATGCGTCCATTCTTTTAACAACATCTTGAGTCATAGAGTGATTGCGACGAATGGGCTCATAGCTTTGTTTTACTAAATCTTGCTGAGCTCTTATACTGTGGCTGGCATCGTTAAGTTCCTCAGGAGAACAGAAACCTTTTAGCTGCTTTCGTATTTCTTTTGCTTGTTCTTTCCAAGTTTCATAAACTTTATTAAACACTTTTTCGTTTTTCTTTATTTCCTGTTCGTGCATTTCTTTGCCTTTTTCTGTAAAGCTACGCTCACGTCTACTGGATCTTGTCTGTTCTGAGTCATTATTTTCATTAGCAGGATTTGACATGTTGACCTTCACTTTATCACTGCCTTTGTGGCTTTACTCTTGTGACTGGTTATGGACTCAAAATGGCGGCCGGTGAGTTGTAGCTGAGTTGTAGCATTAGCAGGCTTTAGCTTGACTGG